GGAAGGTCCAAAACTATAACTGTATCCACCTCGTATGCACCGAATTTGGCCTTACTAAGACTTGTTTCTTATGTATTATTTGCAAATGAATTATATACAAACTACTGGAGCAATGTGGAAGTAGTGCGGATATAAAAGCATGAATTATATACCAACTACTGGAGCTATGTGGAAGTAGTGCGGATATAAAAGCATGAATTATATACCAACTACTGGAGCTATGTGGAAGTAGTGCGGATATAAAAGAATGAATTATATACCAGAGCTATTGGAAGTAGTGCGGATTTAAAAGAATGAATTTTATACCAGCTCCTGGAGCTATGTGGAAGTAGTGCGGATATGAAAGAATGAATTATATACCAACAGCTGTTATACTCCCTGGACTAGACTAAGAGCAGCTATAATCCCAGAACTAGACCAGGAGCAGCTATAATCCCAGGACTAGATCAGGAGCAGCTATAATCCCAAGACTAGATCAGGAGCAGCTATAATCCCTAGACTAGACTAGGAGCAGCTATAATCCCTGGACTAGACTAGGAACAGCTATAATCTCTGGACTAGACTAGGAGCAGCTATAACCCAAGGGCTAGATTAGGAGCAGCTTTAATCCCCGGACTAGACTAGGAGCAGCTATAATCCCTGGACTAGACTAGGAGCAGCTATAATCCCTGGACTAGAAGAGCAGCTAAAATCCAAGGACTAGACTAGGAGCAGCTATAATCCCAGGACTAGACTAGAAGCAGCTATAATCCCTGGACTAGACTAGGAGCAGCTATAATCCCTGGACTAGACTAGGAGCAGCTATAATCCCTGGACTAGACTAGTAGCAGTTATAATCCCTGGACTAGACTAGTAGCAGCTATAACCCAAGGACTAGACAAAGAGCATCATTGATCCTAACATCAGGGAACTAAAGACAGGATCTAGTCTAAATATTAAAACCTGAGAAGATCAAATCTTTGCACCTCTAATATTTGTTAAGTTATCTATGAATACATGATGGTACGTACTGATAATACAGTCATCTCAGTAGATAAGGGGAAACTCAATGTCCGCAGCGTAAGCTTTTAAATCAAAAGATATAAGTATTATTCTTGGGATATGTGGAAACCAAGAGATATTTAAGATATGAATTAACGTAAATATGTTGGTTGTGTGAGTGTCCGACAACTTAAATCAATTCACATGGGGTGCCAGAAACCAACCGAGCACTAAAAAAACAAAGTTTTTGCCAAAAACTCAAATTTTCTAGTCCCTATATCTGCGCAACATGGTGGTGTAAACCTTTGACATTTCAAACGGAGACTTTTTGGTAGAATTGATTGTTTGAAATATCAAAGGTCTTCAAGTCAGGTTACAAAGATATAGGGGTTGAAAATCAGACTTTGTGGCAGAAACTTGGTTCCTTTTTTACAGATTAAATAAGATTTAGAAGTTTTGACCCCTCTTTAGCGGTTAAAGGAACTGTAAGCGTAATTTCAAGTGACCCTCCATGCAGAGATTGCAATGCCCGATTCAATATTTACAACAAAAGTTTTTTAAAAGCTTTTTATGATTTAGATTGAATTAGATATTAGATATTCGTGTTTTTGTTTCCTTAGATTTTTTATTTTCATTTGCGGGTTCTCTGCGAAAGTGACTGCACGCATTTCTTGATTCTAAACAACAGTGACGAAATAAACACTTTTCTTCCACATTTTTGATCAGATTAAGGTTTCAAGGGAGCCGTTATAAATCAGGCATTGTCATCTTTGCATGGAGGGTCACTTAATATTTACGTGATTAAGCTTAGTTCCCAGAAGGATCTGTTGGCCACCATTGTCAAGGACGTACACCTGAGCTAGGCACCAAACAAGGCCTTTTACAAGGTCGTCGTCGACTGCATAGTCGAGAATGTGCACGTCACAAATTAAAATGTCCCGACAAACTTGTCAATACCACGTTACCATAGTTGAAAACTGAAAGGTGGTAAAGGAAGCCTTTTATTTGATAGTTTGTTAATCCCAGAAATTGAGAAATTGTTAAATTTACACCCCCCCCCCTAGAAATCCTTATTTACACCCCTGGTCCTGTAGATGATAACTTCACTGCATTTGCAGCAATATACAGATAAGTTTTGAATCGACGGGAGGTAATTCAGCGACCTTGCTCAAATTCATAAAAATATACATATCTTACTATATTGAGTGATATAAAAATGGTATGAATTTGGTTGAATACAAATGAAGTTGACATAATTATGATTAAAATATAAAAGATGTAAAAAGTAGAATATGCAGAAGAATGGAGTAGGGTATATTCCTAGAGAACGATTTTTGGACCCCCCCCCCAGGCCCGGCTCCTATCAATTTTGTACATGGATCTTACAGAAAGTGTCTCAACTTAACCTAACCCGTGGCGTGGCCGCAGCGCTCGGCCCCGTAGCCCATCCTAGCAGCAGCGCTCGGCCCAGCAAATGTCTTAACCTAACCTAATTCTAAATAATGCTAAATAAATACTAATTTGGTCATAAACAAAATTGAAAGGAGGGGGGAGGGGCTTGGGGGGGGGGGTCCAAAAAACGTTGACTAGGACAGACCCTGGAGTAGAATGTAGCAGTATTTAGTATGAATGAAAAAGAGTTGAAAAGTGTAAATAAATAAAAAGGAAACTGCTGCAGAGTATAGAAGTTTAGATTATTCTTAGCTCCAACTTTATATGAAAAGTTGACAAAATTCTCAGTTTTTATTTGAAAACTTTTCCTCGAAGAATTAAGAAAGCTTAACGGGGAAATCCCATTTATTTTCCTTCAATAAAGAAATTAACATTGCGAGATAATACAGAAGTTATAGTTTCTAACTTCAACTCAAAATAATGAATAAAATACATTGTTTTTATACTTTCTCAACATTAAAAATTAATAATTCAATTTCGCAGTACTTCTAGAGAATTAATAACTGGAAAAAGATAATAATAAATGCCTTAAACTCACATTATACTTTTTTTTGTGTTATGCAACAATTTTCATTGAATCCCGCTAATCTAAAAACTTGCGGTAAAAAATTCACAATTCCTTTTCTATTTCTTGATTTTGTGAATTGTTCAGTCTCCCTTAGGAGGTGTGGCCTTTGTCACAAACTTAAATTTTCTAATTAATTTATATATCGTGTAAACCATTCATATTTCAAAATTAAAAGTTTTTATCAAGCAAAGTTCATACTTTAAAATACCTAAGGTCGATATTCTACGACATTAGATTTCTAAGATAAATGCGTCGGTCTATACCAGATTCACAAACGTACCAGAACCTTTGAATTCCGTAACAATTAGGAAGATTTCGTCATTTTTTTCTCTGAAAAATTGTTATTTTCTGAAAATTTCCTTCTTTGTTATGCATAAATCCGCAAGTCCTTAGTGCAGAGAAAATGCATTTGGAAATTATCAATTTTCAGATAAAAAACAAGGATATCTTAATCATTTTACTCAGATGAAGGTTTTAAAGGTAACGTTGTGAAACGTGGCATTGCCTTGTTTAAATATAGAGTCACGTCGACACTACAGCTTCAACAAGAAATAGTTAGTTATTTTTACATTTTACAGGGTGTCCCAATAAACATGAGAATTCAGTGACGAATTCGATATAGTTTTTTTAAAAGAATTCTTTGATTTAGTATAGTAATACCTACTAAGAAAACTGTAGAGTTCACATTTTGTTTGTTTATGTTTTGACTGCATACGGTTGTACTTAGTATAACAAGAAAATTGCAGTATACAAACAGAGTAAACTTTTCCGTATTCACTGTTCATCTTGCGGAAGACATTTCATAAAATAAACTCTAGCAGACATAATAATATTATGGCTCTTGAAATAGGTATTACTATGCTAATTCATAACAAAGACGATATCGAATTCGTCACTGAATTCCCATGTTTTTTTGGGACACCCTGTATGTTTAAAGAGAATGTAAGCGTAATTTCAAGTTAACCTCCATGCAAAGAAGGCAGTGACCGAAACCCTTAAAAGCTTTATCTGATCAATTAAAAATTATTTATTCATATTTACGATTTTTAAAACTATTTATTTTCAATAAAGGGTTTTCTACAAAAGTGACTTGCGCATTTCTACTGCAGGAAAACATCTTATTATTATCAGAATAAAAAAATGTTAACCCCAAAAAATGACAATACGTCATTGATCAGATAAAGGTTTCAAGGGTTTTGTTGTGAATCGTTCATTACCATCTTTGTTTGGAGGGTCACTTAACCTTACGCTTACAGTCCCTTTAAACTTTAAAAGAGAAAAGATAAGTTTAGTTCTAAATAAATGTATATTCTTGATATCAACATGTTCTTTAGAATACAAATATTCCCGACAAAATATCTCCATATTAGAGAAAGTTTAGAACACTAAATAGTAGATTTGAATTGTAGATAAAACTGGGAGAATAGAATACAAGAATACTGAGATGCAAGTTAGACAAATCTTATTTATCATTTTTATAAATATTGATCTGAATTGTAATTGTAAACTTAGTTATAAAAAACTGATTGAACTATACATAAACAGATCTGTACAGTTCTGAATTGTACAGTTATTTGAATGGTACATTTTGCTGAACTATACCGTTAACTGAATTGTACAGTTAACTGGACTGTCAAGTTAACTGAATTGACTGTTAACTGGATTGTACAGTTACCTGAATTGTACAGTATATTGAACTGTACAGTTAACTGAATTGACAGTTAACTGGATTGTACAGTTACCTGAATTGTACAGTATATTGAACTGTACAGTTAATTGAATTGTACAGTCAACTGAATTGTACAGTTACCTGAATTGTACAGTATACTGAACTGTACAGTATACTGAACTGTACAGTTAACTGAACTATACAGTTAACTAAACTATACAGTTAACTGAATTGTAAAGTTAACTGAATTGTACAGTTAACTGAACTATACAGTTAACTGAACTATACAGTTAACTGAATTGTACAGTTAACTTTACTATACAGTTAACCGAACTATACAGTTAACTGAACTATACAGTAACTGAATTTGTCTATTCATCGAACTGTTTACAAAAGGTTACATGTCGACAAGGATACAAAAACTTGTACAAATTACCCGGATTCTTGATTGATATTATTGCTCTGGGAAGAATTTATAAAACATAGCTCAGGTTTCCTGCTCTCCAAGTTTTGTGAAATGTCCGACTTTCCTTGATGTGTTGGACTGGAACTTAAAATATTTTGATCCTGAGGAAGTATTTGTGTATAGTTTGAAAGGTTTGACTCCAAACTATAGGTTTGAATCCGTCCTAGGTTCTCTGAAGAGAGATCTCTGATATCATCTTCAGAACAGGATTCAACAAAACCTGTCAGATCCCCTAAATTTGTGTTTGTTCAATGGGGGCGTAAGATTCTCCAGAAATCAATCTGCAAATCTATCAATCTACCTGTCTACCTGTCTACCTGTTTACCAGTCTACCTGTCTACCTGTCTACCAGTCTAACTGTCTACCTGTCTATCCGGATTACCTGTCTACCAGTCTTCCTGTCTACCTGTCTACCTGTCTGCAAGTCTACCTGTCTACCTGTCTACCTGTCTACCTGTCTACCTGTCTGTATGCTTCTATTGTTGGTTTTCTTCTTGTTCCTATTCTCCTCATGATTGAATAAACATGAACCATGACGGATACTCAGCTTCTAGTAAAGACACCTGAACACAAGAACTCAGCTTGTAACATAGACACCTGAACACAAGAACTCAGCTTGTAACAAGACACCTGAACACAAGAACTCACAAGAACGGAGACAATAAAAATCTATTTTTCAAATCTATACAAACTTTGTAAATATTAGAAGGTTAGACAGGAAATAACATTTGGACCTGTTGACCTGAACCTTCAGAATCCAACATTATTAAGGTTTGGTCGTATTTACTCTGTTTACTATAGTAAATATTCGTTTTAACTGAGGTTAGATGTAGCGAAATGTTCCGGTCTCTGAACTTTTCAACCTTCTTTTCAGCAGTATCACGAACTCCGAATACTAAGGTCTGTAATACGTCTCTTTAGTCGCATTCTGTATGGGTAACCCAATGTATGATTATTTATTACCCAATGATAAGAAAGACGAGGAGAAGGAACAGGGTTAAGGTAAGGATGATTTCAGTTCCAGACTCCAGGGTAAAGTTAAACCCTCCCTCTCCGTTCTAAAGTTAAACGAAAAATTGTAAAGTTAATTCTAAGTGACCCTTCATTCAACGATTCACCACACTACCCTTTAAAATTATAAATTCTCCGAAAAAAACACATTTAAATTGTGAATCGATAATGGTATTCTTATACGAAAAGATAGGTGTAACAATTGCAGCTAGCTTAGCAGTCCAATTTTGCCAAAAAAAGTTTTTTGCATTAAACAAAATATCTGTGGATTTTTGTGGTATCTTAAAATTTAAATATCTCTGTATTCTTTTGTCCTATTTGTGTTATCTCTTGTCCTACATGTATAATCTCATCCTTTCGTGTAATCCATAGAGAATAGAATATATAGAGAGGAATTTACTAAAAAAAAGTGTAAAACGGCCATTTTGTTGTACTGTTTCCATACTGCAGGTGTACTTTACATATTTATGCTATATAACCTGTTGGGCCCTGGAATATCATTTTATAGAAAATCTAAAATTATTGTTAAAAGAAAACCAAATTATGAAATAGGCTAGTTTCATAATTGACCAATGATCATTTCACAAAGACTCTATGCCTTCCACTGTACAAACAATGATTTTCCGTTATAACTATAAATCAAATGATGTTTTAATTCACTTAATTCATTACAAAGTTTATTTAACAGCTTTAAAAATTTCGAAATTGAAATGAATAGTCTAGGGAACATACTGTATTTATGTACTCTACTGCATATAATTTGTGAACATTTACATGATTTGTACACTTTGAACTCCCTTTCAGGCTGAAAGGGACTGAAAAAATTCATACCGAGAGATTCTTTTAATTCCTCTCTATATATTCTATTCTCTATGGTGTTATCTCTTGTCATATCTATGTAATCTCTTTTCATATCAATGTAATCTCTTGTCCTCAATGTGTAATCTCTTGTCCTCAAGGTGTAATCTCTTGTCATATCTGTGTAATCTCTTATTCTAATTATTTAATCTCTTTTCGTATCTATGTAATCTCTTATTATATCTGTGTAATCTCTTGTTATATCTGTGTAATCTATTGTCCTTTATAGGTGTAATCTCTTGTTATATCTGTGTAATCTATTGTCCTTTATAGGTGTAATCTCTTGTGCCCTGTATATTTGTTATTATAATTTACCTGGTGCGAATACTTTTTTTGAATTCCAGCAACTGTGGATTCTAAGAAGCATTCCTAAATGCAGTTTTTTTTAAAGTGTCTTTTTTCATTTCGTTAAAAGATAGATAAAAATTCACCTAAAAAAGATAGAAAATTGTGCTGTGTATAATTTGTGAAAATTTACATGAATTGTACACTTTGAACTCATTTTCAGATACAAAATTCTAATCTCTGTACTGTGCGTAGAACGCAGTTGATACAGTTAGGATAGATCAAGGTTATAATGCAAGGAAAATTGATTGCAGTTGTGTATACTCTGCGTACATATTGAAACCAGTTCTCTCTGGGCGGAATTTGTAAACAAGAATAGATGCATCAGTGTTCGTTTAGTATCCGAGGATGTTAAAAGCATTAAATTTTGATAATTTTGATAATTTACATAACAGTTTCCTATGGCCAAAATATTTCATTGATTTTTTATTTTTATATTTCATTGATGGATCCCATGTGAGGCTTCGACATCCGTCTTGTTTTTACATTACCACCCAGAGACAGTACATTGCAGTACAAAAGATGCGTACGCCTGTGAAATAACTTTCCTTGCATTATAACCTTGGGATAGATTAAAAATTCGAAATTTGAAAAAGTGACGATTGTTGATAATTAATAAATCAGGAATGAAACTGATCTATTGGTAAAATTTGATCAAAGATGGTTCACAGTCATAATCATGGTAGAATCGAGTAAGGGGGTAGGCGAGACTGAGAAAAAGGACGAAATTGGCCACCCCCTAGTTGATACCTGTATTTTCCTAGGTCTGGAGCTAATCTCACAAAGACAAGTAATCTCTGTAGTGTAGGGTTTACACAAATAAACAGTCAACATTTCTTATTTTTTCTAAAATAAAAACTATTTCTATATTAAAAAGAATAAGCGTAGAGGGAACGTGGGAGGGGGGGGGGGATCATTTCTAGAAAGAGTCCGGGGAAAGGGGATTTTGTACAAACTCGAAAACAGGTTTGCTTAGTTTCCTAAAATTTGTTTAGAAGTATATTTTAAGCATCTTATAAATCAGTGATCAGACATAAATATTTTCCTTCTCTTCTTTGATGTAGAACCTAAGAAATTTGTTCTCGATAAGATTTAAGATAAGAAATTTAAAATTTCCGAGAGAAATGAAAAAAATCTTAATTCTTTCTACTCTTTAACAAGGCTGTAGGAGCTGTAGCGCTTCAGGGTCTTTTACGGTACTTCTTTAAATACAGGGTATCTTTTAGAATAATGTTAAAAGCTCCACTTTCAAGCATTAAACTATAATCACTTTCTTGCTCTGAACCTGAACACCCCCTCAGTAACTTAAGGCAAAATTTAAAAATATATAATTACAAAACATATAAGTTAAGAAATATATAAGTGTCAATAAATGTGTATAATTACAAAATCTATAAAAGGTGAAAATTACAAACAGTTTGTTTATTTGAACATTTCATTTAGACTATTTTTTGGTTAATTGGAACTATTTTTATGTTAGTTTGAACTACTATCCGCAGCGCTCGGCCCCCTAGCCTGTCCTAGCCGCTGCTCTCGGCCCAAAAATTGTTTTAACCTAACCTTACCCTGAAATAATACATAATTTGAACAATTTTTATGGTCATTTGAACAAGAAATTGTTTTATTTTAGGGCTAGGTTGGGTTATGTTTCTGGGCTGAGCGCTACAGCTAGGACATATTTTGTAATTATATACCCCGTGATCTTAACCTGAATACCCTTTGCTCTGAACCTGAACACTTTCCTGCTCTAAACCCAAACACTTTCCTGCTCTAAACCTGAACACTTTCCTGCTCTGAACCTGAACACTTTCCTGCTCTAAACCCAAACACTTTCCTGCTCTAAACCTGAACACTTTCCTGCTCTGAACATAAAACACTTTCCTGCTCTAAACCTGAACACTTTCCTGCTCTAAACCTAAACACTTTCCTGCTCTGAACCTGAACACTTTCCTGCTCTAAACCCAAACACTTTCNCTGAATCTGAACACCCCCCTTCTCTGAATCTGAACACCCCCTGCTCTGAATCTGAACACTTTCCTGCTCTGACCCTGAACACCGCCCTGCTCTGAACCTTAACCCTTCCCCCTTCTCTGAACCGTAACCCTTGCTTTCCGCCTGAACACTTTCCTGCTCAAAACCTGAACACTCCCCTGCTCTTAACCTTAACCCTCCCCCCCATCTCTGAACCTTAACCCACCCCTTCCCCTTATTCCGAACCTGAACCGTGTAAAGACTAAATCCCACTGATCCTGATCCATCAAATCCTGGAGTTCTCTCTCCGTGTAAACCCCCGACCTCGGGGGGTTTGAGATATCATGATGAACCTAATTTTAGCAATATCAAACATTAGTTTTGCAAGGTTAAAATACGACACAATAATATTAGGTATTTTTTTAATAAAAGAGCAGTATTAAAGGGAATGTTCGCGAAAAATGAAAGAGGGTATGGGCTTACGGCGAAAAATAAGCGTTTTTCATCGCTAATCATCTTAATTCTATCTGTTCCGTTCATAGAGAATAGAATATATAGAGAGGAATTTAATGGAAAAAAAATACCGAGAGATTCTTTTAATTCCTCTCTAATATATTCTATTCTCTATGGTTCCGTTCCATCTATATGGAGAAAATGGTTAAAAACCACTCATACTAAAGAACGTAGCGTCCATGCAAATTCAGAAAGTTGCAGCATCAACCCAGATCGTAAACAAATCTATTTAATTCCAAACAAATCATTCAGATATTACAACCAAAAATCATCGATAATTTTTCGACGCATTCGTATAAAGTTGATAATTCAAAATATTTTTATTTTTTATGATCTGATAGTTACTTTTGAAAACATTTATTCATGTTTTGAGGATTTTGATAATGAAGACGACATTTTCATATTTTCCAGGAATGTTCGAAAATCGAGGGCAAGCGAAATATTATCTAAAAAAAAATCAAAAATATTATGAAATATCAACTATATACGAATGACGAAGACTATTGTTTAAAATATCTGAATGAATTGTTTGGAATTAAATTGATTATTTTACGATCCGAGTTGAATGTTGCAACTAGGGTTGTTAATCGTTTTTGAAAACGAGCGTTAAACGGTCGTTTTTTGCTTCGTTTTTCAATCGTTTTCAAAAACGATCGTTTCGTTTTCAGAAAAAACGATCGTTTTAAAAAACGACCTACTCGTTTTAAACTTTTAGAAAACGATTAACGATCGTTTTTGAAAACGATCATTTTTATGAAAACGATTTGTGACCGTTTTTCATACGATTGTTTTTTGAAAACTATACCTTTTAAAAAACCATCCTTTTTTGAAAAAAATGTTATTGACAATTATGTTAACGATTTTTAACGAAGTGTCGTCGTTCACGATCGTTAACGAAGGGTTGTCGTTAACGAAACGAAGAACTTTATAAAAACGGTCGTTTTTTGAAAAACGATCGTTTTTGAAAAAATGTCATGCAAATTTATTGAATGTCGTCTTACATGAAGTGAAAGAGTTGTGGGGGATGTAAAACTTCTTGATATTTTCTTAAAACTACTCAATGATAAGTACAGATGCCCTTCAGGTCGGTTTCCTCTCTTCGTTAACGAAGGGTCGTCGTTAACGAAGGGAAGTCGTTAACGATCGTTAACGAAACGACGAGTTTTTAAAAAACAATCGTTTTCAAAAACGATCATTTTTCAAAACGATCGTTTTAAAAACGACCATTTTTAAAAAAACGAACTTTTTAAAAAAACGATCGTTTCGTTTTTGATTTTCGTCGCATTTCTTATAACAAAACAATCGTTTTTCAAAAAAGAAAACTTTAACATCCCTAGTTGCAACTTCTTCTTCGGTATGAGTGGTTTTCAACCATTTTCTCCTTATAGACGCAACAGATAGAAGTAAGATTAGTAGCGATCAAAAGCGCTTATATTTTTTGCTTTTCACTTCTAGCTCGTGCACACACAGCACAGAGTTATGTGCGTAGTAGAATCCATGGATCGCGGAGATGCAGTTAATATTCCTATTGTAGCCGCTGCGTTTTATCACCCTTTCTGCATACGCGCCGTAACAAATAATCCCAATTACAGAAGTATTTTCTACAGTAAATTTACGGACTTCCCAACTGTTTTTTTTTCCTGCTTTTCAATAAGTATGTATAACATTACATGAATTAAACCCAGCACTGCCTAGGTAACTTAAAGTTACTCCCGCCGTTTACCCGCACTTGAACGATATTAGCGGGAAACTAAATTTTCGCTATTGAAGTCAATTCACTCAACTTAGAATCTCAAAACAAGGCTAAGAACATTCAAAACTTTACGCAAATCAGTCCAGGGGTTCTTGAGTTATGATCGGACAAACAGAGATTACAACTTAATACATGTTTATCGAGAGATTTTTACAGTAGCATGCTCGATTCACAACTGTACTCTTTACTTTCTTTCTGCCCAGGGAACAGTCAACCGACAATATGTGCCGATGGCGAAGATGTCTGGTAAATAATTATGGACTTTTTATGTTCGACATCGGTGTGTCTGAAACTAAATGTATGCAGGGTGAGTAACAATAAGAAGATGTCCACGGTTTTCTATACTAAAACGTATTAAATCCTGACAATCTTCATCATGGTCTTAACTCCACCATAAGTCTATGACACTCTAATCGAGAACACGTAATCAAAAATATTCACCGAATCTCCTACCACCGAACTTGAACTGCTGAATAACGTCCGTATTTAGATATTTGAAAAAATACTTTATTTATGGTTAACAACTTTTCAAAAAATCGGTTTTTCGTTGCTTACATCTTGCTTTATTTTGAAGGGATTTCTACGAATTTTAATGGTTTCTAAACTCGTGTTTCAAGACCGATATTTTAATATCATTAATAATCTTTTTGGACAAATTATTTTCCACCTTGGTACGATATCTTGCACCAAAAAAGCAAAAATCGGAACACGCTTTAAAATCGTACAACTTCGATATTTTTTTAAAGGTGGATTTGAGCATTTTCATCTATAGTTTTGTATCTATAGTTTTGATACAATCCGTACAATTTGAAAACAAATCCGTACAATCCGTACAATCCGTACAATTTTAGGGTTTAAAAAAAATCAATCCGTACAATCCGTACAATCCGTACATTTTGGCCACCCTGTATATATATATAAATATTTATTATAAAATCAATTTATTATTCAATCAAAAAAAACTATTAAGTAGTCTCTCAATTGTCATGTTTATGGGGACACTCTGTAGTTACTTTAAAAAATCTTACGTTACTAGGTGGTGCTTTCAGTGTTCGAGAGGTGCTTCCTAGCCGTTTCACCTTAATGTAAAAAAATTATCACAATTTTCTTTAATTTTAAGCAAACAGGCTTATTAACAATTCATTTTTAAGGACAGTTGAACCCAGATAATTTTTTAATGGGTTTTTATACTATTAAATATCTAAATCTAAGTAATTGTAAAGATAAATAAATTGCCATGAAATATGCGGGAACAGTTTTAAGCTCCATATATTTATTCAATTATCTGCAGCATTACATCAATAGGTTTAGAAAACTATTTTATATGTCCCCGTAGTTCTGTGTTAAACTGTATGTAATTAATGTAAAAACTTTTAGTTCAAATGTATATGTATAGTTCAGCCAAAGTTATATTCAATTAAGGTTGATATTCTATCAATTTCCTTCCTGTCTCTGCTGCATGAATCCGCCAGGTAATTTTACAGGAAAACCGCAATTGAAAGTTATTAATTCCCAGGAAGAAAAACAAGGAACTTTCGAACATTTCCGAATATACCAAGGTTTAGAGGGTACTTTTATGAATGGGCCATATAATTATACCTCTTTAAACCGCCAGGGTCATTTGAAATTACTCAAAAATTTGAGAGGATAGTTCAGAATTTTTATTCCAATTATAAAAGTTACCTTGCTTTTACTCTGGTTTGCTTTTAATAAAGTTGCAATGTTAAGAGACCTCTCCTTCAGTACACTTTCAACGGTTTTAGCAGCCAGGTTTGGAGCGGAGATAATCTTTGTCAGTTTCTTAGGTTCAGAGTTTAACTGATAACTTGACCTACTCTTTAACCAACTAGATCCGTTCTTCAGTTTCACTGGGGACTTTATCTCCCCTTCCTCTAGCTCCTCTAGACAACAGGAGGAGTTGAAGCTCTCGGTCAAATCAATTATTGAATCATCACATTTCTCCTGATCAACCGGGAACGCCTCACCTATCAGCATAAGTTTAATCAGTTTTTATCATTTAAATTGATAAATCTAAAATTTGTTGAAAGTTATATGACAAGACACCAATATCTAAATAGACAAGAAAATTGACAGAAGACATTGAAATCGTTTCATGTTTTTGAAAATGAATTAAGGAGAGCGCATAAATGAAAAAAGGATTGTACAAAACACCACGTCTTTGTACCATTAACCGGAGGGATATTACAAATTAAGATCATTTTGGTTTTATAAATGTAACGTCGACAAACTTCTCATCATCAGACCAATAATAAAGATCAAGCAGGCTTCATTTTAAAAATCCCAGAATACAGGTAATAAGGGTATAGTTTGCCGATTTAAGAATGAATTTCACGTAAATCCTAAATTTGCTCACATTTTTATTAACAAAAATTTTAAAAAATTTATACATCCGGTTACAAATCTGTAAGGAAGGGGTTGGTCTAAGAGATACGGATCTTAAAATCTAGTTCTCACCTTTCTCATCGATTTCTACAGCGGAAACCTTGAAATCCTCCAGGAATTTTAAGATAATTCCATCTTTAAGAAGAGGTCCACTCAACTTACAGATGGGACACTGAAATAAAATTGATCAAAATCGAACTGTTGTGTTGATCTAAATTGGAACTAGAAGTTCAGATCAAAAAAGACAAAAATAAGGGAATTAAAGTTTTCTGCAAAAGTGAAAAAACTGAAACTTTTTCTGCTGTTCAAAACCATTGAAGGTTGGATTGGTCTTACCCTAGAGCTGGACTTATTACCCAGAGTCCTATTTGCAAAATATTAAAAGGAAGGGGGGGGGGGGGGGCAGGAATCGTATTACTCGCTAGAAAATTTGAAAAGTGCTCCAACACAACTTATCATTATCGTAGGACGCTGATTTTTGCATGTAAAATCAAGCAATTTGATGATCCAAATTGGGAAATTATTTGATAGATTGAGGTCATTTATTTTTAATATACTGACCTACAAGTGCTAATTCTTAAATACATATATATTGACCCTCGTTTGACTAAAAGCTTTATTCCGAGTTTTTTTTTAAACCATTTTCGTTTAAGAAATTAATCTCAATAATAAGTAATAAAATAAAAGATATTAGACCTGTATATATGCAGCACTGTCCTGCTTCAGTTTCACCTTTTCTTTGAAAGGTAGAAGATGAATCAAGGAGTTCAGATCAACTGCTTCAAGATGGAGGCACCTATTTATTTTTTAATCCCATTATTTCAAATCAGTAGCATTGTGCATCCAGCTAATTCACGAAGTCAAACAACGGCAATTTCCTAGCGAAGGATTTTTGAACCCCCCGGCCCAATATGCCTCCATTCTATCAATCTTATTCATAGAGCTCGTATATTTTACACATGGTAAGTTGACATGTGGCCGCAGCCCTCGGCCTATCCTGGCCGCGGCGCTCGGCAACTTTGCCTGTCCTAGCCGCAGTGCTTGGACAAAATAAATTATAATACAAAATAGAAAACGAAATAGTTCGTCATGTATAAAGGNGGACAGACTCATAACAACCAATGTGATGGGAAGTAAGCAAGGAGAAGTCGGGAATAAAAAACACCTGTTGAATTGAAAAAAAAATACCACTCTCAAATGGAGCTGACGAAAGGGTCTAAGAAGAGATTTTTCATCATTATCCGAATATTTTGACCATAAAAAAACCCTAAAAGGCGGCTCGTCAAATATCGTCACAATCAAGTTAAATGATGCCGGGGAATTGGAAGTTAGGGGTCCAAAAATCCTATACCAGGAAATTACCCCAGATCAAATCAGCAGAAACTACACAACATTCTGTTTTAAATCGGATTCAATTAGCAAATTTAGCAACACGTCTTCTATACACCAAACGATATTCGAATCTTAAATTCTTACTTTGCCGTTCTTACAGGGGTCTCAAGCCTCTTCATCGAGATAGGACACATCAGGGTTAATCGTACTGCCGAGGATATAGTCAAATCTCCATCACTGAAACATAATATATGGATAATATCAACTTCAGAATTACAACCTACGACTTACAGCCGAAGGGATGCATTTTATATACTGAAAGTGTTGCTATTTTAGTTATGCTGTGAACAATTAATTCTGCGTAAATTGATAATTTGGGAAGACGTTCCAGAATCTTGCATACTTTATCCAAGATTTTAAATAATTAATTCGTTAAGGTCCTCTACGCTCCGTCACCCGTGCAGTTGTATTAATGGCATTATAGATTTACGAAGAAGAAGAAGATAAGTATTTTTTTGTTGTCTTATGGCCCAGACACTGCAGCAAGGACTGACTGAGGAAGCCGGGCGCTGTGGATATTTTTTTGTTGTCTTATGGCCCAGACACTGCAGCAAGGACTGACTGAGGAAGCCGGGCGCTGTGGATAGCATTTGTTATCAGAGCCCGTTCTCTCCATAGATAGTGGTCGTGTAGTTCACGTACTTTGGGGGACGATATGTTGGCTCTAGATGTCTCATGCTAAATTCTTATCTGATATAGATATTTCTCCGTACATTTAACGACCCATAATGGAGACGTCAAGTTGTCGACTAATGTAGTTTATGGAAGGAACGGCCTCAGGCTTTCAACCACGGCTAGGACGGTGACATGGAAACGCCTCAACACGGAAATGTCTCAAAAAACGGGCTCCTAAAACTAATTTAATCTAGTGTCTTCTCAAATAAAAAATATTAAAACCATTATTTTACCATTAATTTAGGGTATGTTAGGTTGCGCCGCAGGCTAATATAGAGCTAATTTGTTGCGCATGATCAACAAATGCATTACAAAATTGATTGTGGTGGGAGGGAGAACAAAAGGTGTTTTCTAGGAAATTGCCGGCCGTTATAATGTATATGGCCGTAGCTTTATGTGCCCCCCCTCCCCCTTCCCAAAATAATTTTCCAGGATGGGCCTGGGGATCAATAGACACAATGGCAACCCAAATATTGAAAACACAATAATACATAAAAAAATTACCTGGAATCTGATTGTCTAGTATAAAATTCCAAAGTCCTGGTATCCTCGGGTAAGTTCACCTTCATGTTAAATACCATGATTTAAATACTAATCGTCCACAGTCTACACGTCTATCAACTTTCCAATGCAATGTCGGCTAGCCAGTAATAAGGTGAAAACCGGTTTAAGGGTTAAGTATGAGTGTACATGGAGTACAAGTGTACAGAATGTACTCTTTACAAATCTTGTTTGGTGGTATAGTATTAATGGTTGATAGCGTTGCCAACTGGGGAAATTTTTCCCCATTTTTTGGAAATCTGGGGAATTTCTACCCCAATTGGGAATGAGAAATTCCCCGGGGAATTGAATGAAAATTGGGGTATTTCTGAGGAATTTTAAACTTTTTGATATATTTTGTTAATTGTACTGGAAAACAATGAAATTGACTAAAATTCATAACAATTGTTGTCATGAATTATTTTTCGCCAAAGATGTATTCATGATTTAAATCGAATCTGAATCAGATCAATCATAGTGAAGGGAATTGTTCCCAAAATAAGGCTTTTTAAAAATTGAAAATGCATATTATTTAGTTGTTTTTAAAAGTTAATATCAATTTAAAGCGCTTTTTACTGTGTTTTAGTATACAATAAAGATGGGGAATTTTAAGTGGATTTTGGGAATTTTGAAGACAGAAATTGGGAATTATCTTTCTTCGGAGTTGGCAACCCTGGTTGATCAGAGACAATTGAGAAGAGACTGAGAATTACAGAGATTAATTTACACCTATATGCGATATTTTCCACAGCATGTTTTAAATTGTTTACAAGTACTGCACACGACCAATCAGGAGAAATCTGTATTCAGGGATATTTCAGGATCCTTTGAATTAGGAAACTCAAAATCTTTAAAAATAAACATATATTGATGAACGTTATGTGGTAATATCCTAGAAAACGATTTTTGGACCCCCCCCGGCCGCCCAACCCCCTCCTATCAATTTTGAACATTGATCTTAAATGTAAGATATGTGGCCGCAGCGCTCGGCCCCCTAGCCTGTCCTAGCCGCAGCGCTCGGCCCAGAAAGTGTCTTCCTAACCTAACCTAACCCTATAAATAAATACTAATTTAATTGAAAATTGTTGAAAAAGTGGTTATGTACAAAAGGACCTCGTTATGTTTTATGTTTAAAATTGGAGTATTAAACTTTAAAAGTTTTAAAACTTAACACCTGAATACAACAAGTGGCCGTGAGATGTCAGTAAAAAACAATACATGGAACCGTGTCATGGCGTGCCGGGACACTACAGGCCTACTCAGCCTATCCAGGTAGAGTGTATGAGCAGTCTGTGTAGTCTCATGGGGTTATAGATCATCTACCATATGGTATTATGAATGATACTGGTATTATAAAGAGTAGTGTTACCTTAATCCAGCCGCAGGGTGCAGATTTAAATTGCCAGTCGCAGGGTGGATTTAGGTAGGATAATATGCCCCAGTAATTTTAGCTTGAACTTAATGTTAAAGTGAAAACTCGATTTTCCTTGAAATTGATGTTTTGTATGGTACACAGAAAATTTTCATAATTTAGGTTTAAGCTCAGTATCGGATAAAAGAAAATATTGAAACTTTGAAGCTGAGGCAATTTTTCTGCCAAAAAAAAAATGGGGGATCATACTAGAACATATTTGTTACATTGTATGTATGTATGTCGGCATATGCAAAAGAACAACAAACCAGTTCAATCAGAAATCAATTGCCTCAGGACAAATATTTTGGTATCAAACAACTGAACAAATTATGGAAGAAGACATTCTAAACTATTTACCAACTGTCATGTTTTGTGGGTCACCCTGTACATAAATCATAGTTAGGACAATTACAAGTCACAAAAAGTTACCTAAGTATCCTAACGATTGTTTGTTGTCTTCAACAAAAATTTTGTAAATTTTATCAACAAAAATTTTATAAATTTTGAAGTACTTTCTTAATTTTCTGGCGTTGTTTAACATGAAAGGCTATAGATATAAATATGTATATATTTATACCCCTCAGGATACATAACGCCTGTTTCTTTCCTTTACATTGAACGAATAAAAAATGTTCTACTTTAGATACTACTGTGGGGTTCTGCCTTGAATAAAGTATTTGAATGCATGTTACTTAATGATTTGGCTAAAACAGGAATTCCGCAGTACTTTGTGGATAACCCTGTATTTTATAAAACCAAATATTAGGAACAGAGCTGCTTCTAAAATTTAGATTTATTTTTGGCAGAGAATTGTATATGTGCCATAATTCCAGCAAGGTTTGAAAATGACAAATATCAGTGCCAAATCATATGAGTCTTTGCCACAATGTCTGATTTTCTAATCCCGATATCTTTACAACTTGGTGGTGTAAGCCTTTGTCATTTAAAACTTAGATTATTTGATCTAACAGAATTAATAGTTTGAAATATCCAAGTTCTATATACGATATCGGGTTGCAAATACATATGGATTAGAAAATCAGAGTTTGTGGCAATGTCTCAATTCCATTTTTGTACCGAGCTCCTAATAAAAGGACTTTTCTTCGAAAGACATGAAACTTAAACTTAATTAAAACTGGTAAAGTGAACTTCTTCATTACACTCCCAAGTCCCAATTCATTTAAGAAGCATTCATGGAATAACTTCTTCAACTTTACTTGGGCCATTCCTTCAAGAAGAAACCTAAACATTTTGTTCAAAATTGCTAATAGAATGTTAGATATTTGAATATTTTTGAGAAATTCTTAACATTTTGTCTAAAATTACTAAAAGAATGTTAGATATTTGATTATTTTTGAGNTAAAATATTTCCTATATTAGTTTTGTTTGGGTTTGATTTGCATTTTCCACTCATTTCTGGCATTTACAAACTCCATCAAATAAAGGCTTTTACCTTGTTGTTTTATATCCTTCATTATATTTATTCATTTGACATTAACTACAAAGATCTGTAAAAATTTATTTTAAGTAACATAACAAATAGTTTTACTCTAAGAAGAAAAAGATGTAACCTTTTTTAAATCTTTAGAAAAGCTACTCTGCAAAACTTTGAAAAAATATTGTCTTTGTTTTTATTCTAATTTCTAATTTCTAAAATTTTCTTGTCGTCAATGTACTAGGTATATATATTTATTTCATTTTATTTAAAGAGAAATGTCTTACTTTTTAAAATTTAATTCTTAATAATCTTGATCTTTTAACATTTTACTCCCCCCCCGGGAGAGCTTTATACTTAATTTGACATATAGTGGAAGTAAGCAACCGCATTAAAAAACTCGATTTTTGGGTAAAATTTATCTATGTTACTTTGATAAAGTTGATTGAGTTATTTGAGTAAGATTATCTGCGCGAAGCGCCAAAAAAATTTGAACATTTTTCCTAATAATTAATGGTTATCATGGACATGGAGAATGGAGATCAAGTTACTAAACGGGGATATTTGTGTCCCCAAGATTCTAGGGGGGGGGGGGTAATTACCCCCAGGATTCTAAGGGGGGGGGGGGAACTACCCCCCGGATTGTAGGGGGGGGTAAATAACCCCAATAACCCCCCTTATTTACGCCACTGTTCTTGAAGTTCACGAATAGTAATGTTTCACGGATCACCATGAACAGCTGTTATACATAGTTTCTAGTTTTATCTAATAACGAAGACTAAATAAATATTTAAATCAAAATACAGGTTTTCACGTAATGGTATTTTACAAACGTCTCAATATTTATGAAAAGAGTCCGATTTTTTGTAAATTTTCTTTAAATACAATGTACATATATTTTTCGATAAAAACAGTTAAAACCTTACAAATCCTTACAAATTACGTATGTAACTTAGAGTTCCATCGATTTTTTCTCAGATTTTTAGAAAAGAATGATTAGTTTCCAGATGTTCTCCTCCTGTACCTGGATACACAGGTGGAGAACAGGAATTAGTTCTCATCAGACCGATGACAAGATATCGTTATGCTCCTCTCTCAGGTTCCTCTGGTAAAGACCAGACCCAGAGTAACCCAAACTATTGTATCATCTTCATCTCATCCTTCTCAATCTTCGTTCTTTCTGTCCTAGTGGCTACAGCAGCACTTAAACTTTATGACAGACATAGGGATGTTAACACTTCCTTTCTTCCTTCCTTCCTTCCTTCCTTCCTTCCTTCCTTCCTTCCTTCCTTCCATCTTTTATTCCTTTTTATGAAATGTTAACAAAGCTTGAATTAACCTAGAACTATAAAGATTAAGGGTTTCGAACCTGTTCCTCCAACAGGAACAGAGAACGCTTCATTCACAGATATTGTTCCAGTATCCTCTTCCACACTAGATTCAAATACAAAGATAGTAAATCCAACCGGAGAAAAGGTAACAAACTAGTTTTTAAATATCTAACCCGGAGTCTAAACTTGTTCTCCAGGTATTCTGGAGTAAGGATAGATGCACGACCAAACATTGTCTTCGGGTTCTAAGTTCCATGAACCTGGAGATAGATCCGTGCCAGGATTTCTATAAGTTCTCCTGTGGAAACTGGAGAAACATTCATCCCAGACCTACTGGGACGGAACACTGGACGAACTTTGTTCGGTTGGATAGGAGAAATGTTCAAACCATTAGGATCGGACAGATTTTTAAGTGTAGGACTAGGAGTTTGATTAGAACTTGAACACAGATGTTCAATTCTTAACTTAATCACCGGCATATATACACAAGAATAAAATTACCGGAAATGCACATTATGATCTTTTCTTCAGAGTTCAATTAATTAATAGGAACCAAAATTGTCAAAATAATTATAACTTTTTTTGCCATTTTTAAAGACACATTTGGACAATTTTTGTAATGAAATAGATACCATACTTTCTTTAAGGCATCTCCCATGTTTTTGCTTTGTGAGATTCAATGAACCCGAAATAGGGTTGTATAAAGGAATGGAGTCATTGCCACAAACTCTGATTTACTAATCCCTATATTTTTTCAACCTAATACCGTAGACTTTAGATATTTTTAACTATGAATTCTGTTTTATCAAATATTCTAAGTTTGAAATATAAATGGTTTACACCAACAGGTTGGAAAGAATAAAGGATTGAGAAAATTTGAGTTTTTGCCAAGGCTTAATTCCTATAAGAAAACCAAGGTTTCCTAGTATAATCTCTCCCAATCCCCCAGGAAAGGACTGGAGAAGAGAGGTAAGGTTAAACACACCTCTAAGATCGTGAAGAAAACTCGTCTCTTCTATAATCAGTGTCTGGGTCGGGATAAAATAACAATATCCGAGTCTAAGAAGGAACTGGACGCGATATTCTCATCAATCAAATTTAAACTCAGGAACGTTCTTTTCTTTGTGAAGGACAATTTTGGTTTCTGAAAAGGTTGATGAATAGGACTGATAAATTGATATTTTATAAATCTACAGATTTACACTTTTCATTGTCTTCACCCAACTAAACCGAATTTGTTTAATTATGTGAGGTTTGCCATTGCATTTGAGTATTTTACATTATACATTTGTGTAGATTTTGATTTAAGAAATCTGAAAACTAAAAGAGAATTTAAAGAAAATAGGGTTCTGCAAAATTGCCTGACCCAATTCTTGAAACCTGATTTCCGATACTGGGTTTCATTAGGATGCTTTGTCTTAAGTTTCGGACTCAGAGCCCAGAGGGAGTAGGCAAATATCATGCAATAAACAGATTTTTGTATTTAAAATGACAGCAAAAATTGGGGAAATCTGCAAAGCTGTTGTTTTGTGGATTTTATTATTTTAAAAGAACACCAAAATGTCAATAGTTTATAAATCCTAAAAGTAACGTTTACAAAGTGATGAGAACCCCGGGACGGATTTAGCGGAGCTTCTCGGAGATCTTTTTACAAGGTTCGGAGTTCAACCCTTCTTCTCCCTGAGTATATCCATCAGTGATACAAATTCAAGTTTACATATTCTCAAGATGGACGAACCAAACCTAATCTTCAGCTCCAGGAACTATTATTCTAAAGACGAGAGAAGTGAGTTAAGGTTTAATAAGAAATATTAAGAAGAAGAAATCCCAAATTGTTTACACAAAAAAATGTACTGTAATCTGCGTGTTTTTTTGCATTTTATGTGGAAGGAATATAAACTGAAATTTTTTGAGGGTTTCTTGTTTTAACTTTGTATCAGGTATTCTGCTTACAGATAGAACCCGACCTCTGCTGACCAACTATATCAAGGATATATTTCATCTGGTTGAGGACGGATCTCCGGAGGAAGCTGTTCCTGAACTCTTGTATCACAATCTCACACATCTAGGTTAGTTAGATACTTTTGATTGAAACTATACGCAATAGGTTGGATAGGTTTAATCAGAGATAAGAGAAAACAACAACTTTTAAAATCTGAAGAAAATTAAACAAATTGAATTGGTGAAAGTACGACGAGTAACGATATAGCAAAGTCGTACCAATTGTTCCGTAAAAATGAGTTTCTTACTTTTGCTGGAATTAGATTGTGTTGTCTGAGAGGTCAACAAATCAAATATTTGTTCCATGAAGACATAATTATTACATATAATATAATTATCACAAATTACGATAAATCCTCATGAGAGAAAAGAATCTGTTGTGCCAGGTTTTCATCATTTTCCTTGTAAACAGCTTAGTATAATTTAACCTTCTAGGTTTATTAACATATATTTTCAGCTACCATGTTGATGTTTCTAGGGGCTTATACAGGAAGATAAAAAAGGTTAAGCCCCCATCACCCCTCCACTTTCCCAGAGCAGAGCAGAGCACATTTTTAAATTAGTATGAGATGAGATTGTAACTGTTTTAACTGTAATACTACGTTTATTGAGTTTACAAAAAATGCCGCGTGGATCAAAGACGATATAAAAGTCGTCACGTAATTACCATGTTTTGGGACATCCCTGCACTGCATGGAAAATACAACGAGAACATCAAGAAGAAGACATGCATATGTTTCAACAATGGATGCGAGTTACGAAAAAAGTTTATAAGTTTTTGTAGCTTGACCAGAAGGTTCGATTGAAAAAACGTTGATAATCCCTTTAAGTTGTTTTATTTCAGAGTTTAAACTCGGTTCAGACGAAACTAAACCAGAAAACCACAGAATCTTGGAACATTCGTCGAACATTTTAACAATCCAGGAACTCCAGGTAGAATTTTGGAACATTTGTCCATACTTCTAATAATCCAGGAATTAAAGGTAGAATCTTGGAACATTTGTCCATACTATTAACAATCCAGGAACTCAAGATAGAATCTCTGGACAATTGTCCATACTTTAACAATCCAGGAACTACAGGTAGAATCTTGGAACATTTGTCCATACTTCAAACAATTCAGGAACTCCAGGTAGAATTTTGGAACATTCGTCCATACATTTCACAATCCAGGAACTCCAGGTAGAATCTTGGAACATTTGTCCATACTTCTAACAATCCAGGAATTACAGGTAGAATCTTGGAACATTTGTCCATACTTCTAACAATTCAGGAACTTCAGGTAGAATCTTGGAACATTTGTCCATACTTCTAACAATTCAGGAACTTCAGGTAGAATTTTTGAACATTTGTCCATACTTCTAACAATCCTGGAACTCCAAGTAGAATCTTGGAACATTTTTCCATACTTTTAACAAGTAAGAAACTCCAAGTAGAATCTTGGAACAATTGCCCATACTTTTATTAATCCAGGAACTACAAGTAAAATCTTAGAACATTCTCACAAGCTTTTGAATATACAAGAACTATACTGAACACTTGCCTCAAACTTTCACTTTTTAATCCATAGATAAATAAATTAATCCTTATATACTTGCAATCTGATGTCGTAGATATTTGATATAAATAAAATTCTGATAGATCTGATCTTATAGAAAAAGTTTTAAATACCTAAGCTTATACACCATCAGGTTGCAAAGTAATAGGGATTAAAACATTAGAGCTTGAAGCAAGTATTCAGGTCTATTTTAGGAAAAAGGAAAGGCAAGATAGGCATAGAGAATAGAATATATTCTATTCTCTATGAAGATAGGCCTTCTTATGAAGTGTAGGCTACAATAGAGCTGATTCCTATCCAGCAATAATCTCTCATAATACTAGTTTTTCTCCAGGATAAATACAACCTGCTGGATTGGGGGAAACTGTTGAATAACACTATCCGGAGTAAAGATGATGAAACCTTGTCTATGGAGACAAAAATAAATATTATCTCGGAAAGGTAAACTGAAGTTTATATAGTTTTTAATGATGTTCGGTAGTTTATGAATAACTTTAAGTTCGAGAAATAACATGCGTGGCGAAAGATAATCGATGACTATAGGTTGTAATATCTGAATGATTTGTTTGATATTAATTTGATTTTTTTACGGTCTAAGTCGTATGTTCCAACTTCCTTAATTTGTATGGGCGCTACGCTCTCCGGTATGAGACGTCTTTATCAATTTTCTCCTTATAGACGCAACAGATAGAAGTAAGATTAGTAGCGATCAAAAGCGCTTTTTTATCGCATTAAGCCTATACCCCCTTTCATTTTTCGCGAACACTCCCTTTAAGGAAGCTATTTCGGGTCCACTCTATATACATTTTAAACATACTTGTGTAATGATAATTTTATTTACCGGAACTCTAGTGTATACATAATTTCAAGTGACTTTTAATTGTTAGAGTGGTAGGGCCGATTCACAACGGTACTCTTTAAACCTTTGTCTGATTAAGTATCCTACCTGCTCAATTGTGGTTTCTCTAAAAAATTAACTTGTTTATTTTTACTGTGCAGTGGTGCAGGAGATTGGTTGAACTGTACACTTTTTAAGATCAGTGTTAGTCAGAGAGAGGTTTAAAGGGAACCGTTGTGAATCGGATGTGTCGCTCTTTAGGATGTGTTACTTGAATTTACGTATTCAGTTCTTTTAATGTCTCAATCCGCTGTAACAACATTTTATTCTTTCTTACTTTCCCCCACACATTAAATATGTTTTGTTCCTGAGGAATGAACTTTTAAACTGTTAATCCCTTCTTATGCGAGCTTTTTACATGTCCGATTGATTAATTCGATCAATTCAGAATCAAAAAAACTGTTGTCAGTCAATCATGCGCTATTTCATTCAAAAGTTTCAACCTTTGTTTATCTATGTATATAAAGTTGTAGTTGTAATCTCTGTTTTTCTGTCTGTTTGTTTACCAATCATAACTCAGGAACCCCTGAACGGATTTGCCTCAAATTTTAAATTGGGGAACTCGGTAGAGCCACGGGAAAGTTCTTAGCTTGATTTTGAGATTCTAAGTTGAGTGGTTCGACTTTAAAAGCGAAATTTTAGTTTCCCGATAAAATCGTTCAAGTGCGGGTAAACTTTTAGTAACCTGGGCACGGGCAGCGCTGGGTTCCCAATCTAGTATATATATATATATAAAGTTGTAAGCTCTATTTGTTTGTCTGATCATAACTCAGGAACTTTTAGACTGATTTGCCTCAATTTTTTATAAGGGAACTCGAAAGAACCACGGGAATGTTTTTATCCTGATTTTGAGATTCTAAATTGAGTGAATCGACTTTTTTGAAAATATTTGGTTTCCCGGTAAAATCGACCAAGTGCGGGTAAACGTCAGGATTAACTATCCCTATCGATCCCGATTAACTTAATCCCGATCGATTAATTAATCTGGAGATCAATAACAAGAAGAGAACAAGCATTATTTAATCTGGAGATTAAGAAAAAGAGGAGATCAAGCATGATCTCGATATCCACCATTCTAAAGTTTTCAGCTCTGGGCAGTTGGTATATAATTCTGGTCCTAGTCTATTGTATCCACATCATACAACATAACCTAGGAACATAATCTTAATTAAACGAACACAAAGAGTAATTTAGGTTTATGGAGAGGGTTTCAGGCAAGATATCCAGTCTTCTGCAGAGCAAAGAAGGACGAGAGTTAATATCCTTGTTCTGTTTCTGGAAAGTTTATGAATCTTTGATAGAAAATCTCTCTCATCAGTTCAGATCTATTCAACAAACATTTAAGGACGAAGTTAAAGGTTACAAGAAAAGGTAAAGATTCTTTTTTTTATTTGATTAATTTTTTTTAACTGTGTTCGTCTTAATCTCTTTATTTCTGCAGAGCCCGGAAGTCTATAAGTTGGATAACATGTATCCGAGAAACTGAAAGTATGTTTAAATACGTTCTATCAAATATATATCTCAAGGTATAGTTTTATCTACAAACAAGTTTAGATAAAGTTTTTATATTACATATATTACATACATTACATATATTACATATTACATAATTATTTTCTTTAACGATACATTTTAATCATTATCTTGGCTCAGTTACTATTCACATAATGGAATTGAGTCTTTGTCACAAACTCTGATTTTCTATTCACTATATCGTTGAAACCAAATGTTGTAGACCTTAGATATTTCAATCTATGAATTCTGTTAGATCAAATAATCTGAGTTTGATTTTGTTCCAAAGACTCAATTCCTTTACAATTCTTAAGAATACACATTTGTTATAATTACACTTTCTATAATTATATTTCCTATAAGGTTACAACTCCTATATGGTTACAATTCATAGAAGGTTAGATTAGTACACAAATTTAATTGACGTTTAGAATTGGAATTTAGAATTTACGCCAACAATTATATAAGCAATAAAGGAATTAAGTCTTTGGAACAAAATCAAATATTTAAACCACAATATCTTTAGAACTTGATGTTATAAACCTTTGATATTTCAAACTCAGATTATTTGATCTAACAGAATTCATAGTTTGAAATATCTAAGGTATGCAACATTTGGTTCCAAAGATATAGTTATCAGAAAATCAGAGTTTGTGGCAAAGACTCAATTCCTTTGTTCCTGTCTTCAATTCTAGCCACGGCACTCGGCCCATATCTCTGGCTGCAGCACTCTGTCTCCTAATTTGACCTACAGGGTGTCCCACGAAACATGACATTTGGTAATAGTTTTGAATGTCTTCTTCCATATACTGTATTAGATATTAAAGACTTTTTGCAGTTAATTTAGTTTTAAAAACTTACCTCATATATATTTTACTTGGAAACCAATTTTACTATAATATGGATGCCATAAAACATTTATTATTATTCTCTTTGGTAACAAACAACTTGACATATGGAAGAAGACATTTAAAACTATTTGCCAACTGTCATGTTTCATGGGACACCCTGTAGCATGCAACGCTTGGCCCTGAAATTGTCTTAGCCAAACCTTACCCTAAATAAGGTGAGACAGACGGCACTTGGACTGAAATTATATAAAAAGTGTAATTGTCGATTTAATGGTATAAAATAGTGTAACTTTAAAGGAAATGTAATTATTGTCAGTTTAATTATAGCAAGTGCATTTATAGAAAATGTATGTACATGTCCTTTACTACTTCTTGTAACATGTAAATGTACAGGAGACCAATGGGTTTAATTCTTCTGTAGTGGAAGAAGCAACTAAAATACTTCACAGGTTCATATTAGTCAAAATCATCTCATAAAGGAATTATGCCTTTTCCACAAATTCAAATTGTCTAATTTATTTGTCTATAAAACCTGATAGTGTAAACCTTTCATATTTCAAACTTGGATTTTTTTATTTAACTGAAATATCTAAGGTCCACGACATCGGGTTGCATAGATGTAGGGATTGGAGGGCAAACACTCAATTCCTTTACCGTGATTAAAATGATAATCTATATTCCTCAATTTTCCACAAAACTGGTTAATTTTCATTTTGCTATTTAAATTAAGTTTATTTTTACCCCATTAGCTCCTCACCCGAACCCACTCTAACTACCAAATAAATGATTATAAAAGGAGAAATGTTCACTGCAAAAAAATTAGTTTCTTACTGACGTAAAGTTAGTTCAATCCCTTCCATAGAGTTGGAACCAGTGTAGAGAAGAACCTGGAGAAGAATACCTGGATGGATCTTGAAACTAAAACTGCAGCTGTAAACAAATCCAAGAAGATCCATGGTTTGGTCGGATTCTCATCCATTGTTGGAAAACTGGTGAGATTAAATTCAAAATTAAAGAATCATAAACTTGGCTAGATATTCCCCCACTCTCTCTAACATAGATGGTCCCCCCAGGGAAAATAGGATTAATCTTGAAATAAATTAAATAAAAGCAAAACGACAAAGTACAAGAAGTGTCCATTAAAAGAACTGTCAAAAGCAGTTTAACACCAATGATGTAACAAAAACTCTTTAAAAGAAAATCTTTTCCTTTTTTACATGTTTTTTTTTACATTACATTATATGTGATGTAGAAAGAAAAGGGAAAGAAGTCGGCATTTTTGCTGTGCCTCATGTTAACTAGACTATTTGAAGTGGTAACTAAAAGTCGACTTTCTACTCCAGTTTTTTTTTGTTATCACAGTAGATAAAAGAGATAAAACAAATATTGATTAAAAAAATCTTGAAATGATTTTTTCCCGGTTGATATTTCAGAAATCTTTGGAGAGAACGTATGGAAAGATTGAGATAGGTTCAAGTTATCTTGAAACTAAACTACTCTACATGAGACACAATCAAGCGCCAGACAAACTCTGGGACAAATTACACAAGGAAACCCATACCAAACCAAACCAAGCTATATAAAACCATACCAAACCAAACCAAGCTATAGAAAACCATATTAAACTAAACCAAACCAAAGTAAACCATACCAAACCAAACCAAGCTATAGAAAACCACACTAAACTAAACCAAACCAAAGTAATACATACCAAACAATAGTAATATATACTAACCAAAGTAAACAATATACCAATCAATGGGCCTGGATGAGTGATGAATTCTATACATTTCTTTTATTGTCGCTGGACTCCACAAGTCAATTGTTAAGAGAACCCACACACAATAAATCAAGGGTCAATTGAAATTACCTTTTCACTCTACAGTCTCTTTAAACATACCAAACTAATTTTGACAATTTAGAAAAGAAGTTAATGGGGTTATCATCAATCTCTATATTTTGACTTTGTTAGGTTTTTCATGGAAACTGGTTTCGGTTTATGTATCTATACAATAAATATAAAAGAATTGAAGGGTGTACATTAAAAAAAGTTCCCACCTACCTTTTCTTCTCTAATTTCATGTAAACCTACGAATATTAAGCTAAAAACTTTCTAAATTATATAGACATCTTGATCTTGAATCAAAAAGTGGCTTCAAAAGTCCCATGGGTGTCTTTGTTTAGAAGTTTCCATTTGCCAGCATGCTAAAAGTATCAAAAACGTTTTTAAAGTTGAATACACATTGCCAGGTTGTAAAATCATAATCATAAGAATCACTATATTCAACAAAAGAAGAATAATGAAGTAATAGCGTTATTTGTCAAAGCATTTGGTAGGGAGTGGAAGGAAGCTTATTTATTTCTTGGCTGCCCTTATTATACTATTTTATTAATTCATCCTGAAATTCATTTTGTCCCAGCTATCCGGGATAAAATTTACTTGAACCGAGATGAAATATTCTCAGCTGGTATATAATATTTATTACTTCCCTGCTGCTAATATTATATCCGCTAGTAATTTCAATCACATAATAAAAACTACAGCAAACTTTATTACAATCAGGTTATAAAGGTACTAAATATAGATAAAGTAATGTTATTTTTCAAAGATTAATGGTTCCATTAAAAGAGTAAACCATGACAACATTGTCATTTTTAGCTATCTTGTAAGATCCTCCTGTGCTCAAAAAGGCAGATTCTCGCTGAACCGAAGATCCTTCCCTAGCTGATGGTTAATGTTCAAGAGATGTCTCTAGTTCAGTATCAGCAGGATTCTCTGTAGTTTCAGAAGTTACAATCTCGACATTTATAGAGTTCTCAACTGTTGATGCAGCTGGGTTACTTAAAAGAGAAGCCATATTCATCACTGCACGTTTACTAGTTGATATATATTCTTGAGGCATATTAGAAACTGATTTATTGTTAAGCTGAGGCTCTATCATCTGCAGAAGCAGTAGCTGATGACCTTCTAAATGAATGGAAAGTATAATCTGCAAGGTTTGGTTAACAACCTCATGTGAAACCTCAGCTCTCTTATTTTTTCCAAGAGGCTGGTTCACAAAAGTTGATCCTCTTACTGGTCAGAATTGACATTTTTGGCTATTTTGCAAAAAAATTTAATCAATTAGCAGAAGTTAAAAACCATAATTCTTGGGTAAAAATTGTTCACTGTTTATTTGATGTCAAAACTTTCCTGTCCAAAAAACACGACAAAAATCAAAAAAGAGAAACATCATTAAAAAGAAGAAGTGATGAATGGAAATAAGAACCTAAATGTAGAGTTTAGAAGTTTGATAGAGACTATGTAATATATGCTGTCCATCTAGCTGGCAGCTGCAATTTGCAATGCCGAGTCGCAGATGCCCCAAAATAACTACTGAATCATTGTTAAATCCGATGTTTTTGCCTGAACTAGTTTCATAGTTACAAATATTAGGTATATATTAATTCGCAAGTTGTTATTGTCAATATTGAGAGTTCTAGAATTCAAAATGTGAGTGCGAACCTTTTTTCATGTACGTACACCATTTAGGAGTTTCTAAACTTTTCAGAACTATAATTGTCTATTCTTTAAACAATGCACAATACATGATATACTTTATTGAACCATGGTTAGTAATATTTAAATTGACAGGAGGCCTGAAATTAGTGTATTTAACACATAACATTATTAAGATAATGATTCTACAAACAGGGGCGTAGTGGAGGTTAAGCTTTGGGGGGGGGTGAACTTATTTTTTGTGTGCACCCCCTAAAAAACTGTATTAATAATAAAAATTAATTAAGTTAAAAATCTATATTAACCTAGCTGACTATTAGTTATCACCAATTATTACCAATCATACCATTATAGAATCTAGTAGTTAAAAGAAGAGCAAAAAAACTTTTTAAAAACATTTTTTTTTCTATCGAGTATTGAGATCATATCAATTATGATATGTCTAAATTATGACTAGATTACACTCCGGAGACAGTATTATTTAAAGCTTTTTATCGATGTCCCAAAACATTGTTGATAAAAATGTTCTCAAATTTCCCTATTTAAATAAATTTTTGGTAAATAGTTATGGAAACATGTAGCTGTTTTCAATCATTAAAAACGGGTTAAAAATAGCATTCCATTCAAATGCTACGGCTTTAGAGTCAACAAAAAATAATTAAAAGCTTTAATATACTGCCTCCAATACTGCCTCCAAATTTAGAATTCGAGGATTATTTTGAACAAATTGTTTCAAGATTTCTTCATTAGAAACCTGGTCCAGGATGTCGGAGTGCATATGCATCCTTGACAGGTTGCATAGCCTCCCGCTCCCCATGGTTGACCTCAGCAGGCGGAGTGTGCAGAATGACCGGTCGGCCCGTTGGAAACCCCGCGAAAAAAAAATTAAAATTAAGATTAAGATTAAAGAAAGAATTTGAGAAATTATCATAAAATGGACAAATTGTGACATTGTTAATTGATAAGAAAAGAATATATATAAGTAAGTTTAATTTATTAGGGCCTGCCTCTAGGAGGGGGCCTAGGGGGAGCATGTCTAGGGGTACATAGGATTTTGGCCCCCCCCCACTACCCCCGTGTCTACAAATGAGCACTTTTTCTTTAAATATATTTAATTTATATCTTAGAAATTCTCCTTTTTCAATGAAATTTAAATAAGTGTTTGAAATAATGAAAATTATTTAGAATATATTAATTTTAATTAATTTTAAGTATTCTATATATGAGAACTTCATGTATAATTTGACATATTATATATGGGCATATGTGAACCCCCATGCATAAAAGGAAACCCTGTATTCCAGGGGACCAGGACACCATTTATACTGTATAATTCTATATGTAAATACTATATTCTAAATATATTGTTCACTTATTCCACTAGGATACCAGGTATACTATAGGACACATGCACCATGTATTCTGGGACTCTGTAAACTAGGACACCATGTATACTAGGACACCCTTGTATTCAAGGACCCTATGTATACTAGGACACCCTTGTATTCAAGGACCCTATGTATACTAGGACACCCTTGTATTCAAGGACTCTATGTATACTAGGACATCATGTAAACTAGGGCACCATTAATACTAGGACACCCTTGTATTCTAGGACATCATGTATACTAGGACACCATGTATACTAGGACACCAGGACACCATGTATACTAGGACTCCATGTATACTAGGAAACCATGTACACGAGGACACCATGTATACGAGGACACCATGTGTACTAGGACATCAAGTATACTAGGATACCATGTAAATTAGGACACCATGTATACTAGGAAACCATGTATACTAGGACACCAAGTATACAAGGACACCATGTATACTAGGACACCAAGTATACTAGGACACTAAGTATACAAGGACATCATGTATATTAGGACACATAGTATACGATACATGATACATGATAATTTACTTTGTATGCTACATGCATAGATATTGATATTCACGTATACGATGTAAGGTTGAGTATGATGAATCTAGAACGTATCTCCGCATTTCTGGATTTCCTCTCCGCAGAAGATAAACGCTTTCTACGCTGCAGTTCTAAACCAGATTATAATACCATTCGGTATCCTTCAAGAACCTTTCTTCTCTTCTCATAGACCAGAGGTATGCTGAGAATTTTTGGTTTTGGAACTATGGCTAAACCTAGGGATTCATCGGCTTAACTCGATATCCAGCGGACAAACTTTAAAGACTAGACTTTCTTGGCGCTTCGCGCCCGTCTTCTACCAACAGTTTAAGCGTTTAAATGTTGCTTTCCAAGAGGTAATTTTTTCTCAAAATTTTGCGAACTTTTCTGAAACATTGATAAATTTCTAAATTTTTAAAGAATCGCCAATTTTTTCCAGCCAAAGCTTGTCACATTTAACCGTCCTTGGGGTCGTGTTAGTAGCTAATCGGTTCAGCTGTTTTGACGTTTATTGTATGCTGACTAACAAGCCAAAATTATATTTACTATTCCACGGTTTAAATATATTGCACTACGCTTTTAGGGCGCTTCGCGCCCATCTTCTATTTAAATTGTGAACAAAATTTTGCGGATTTTAAAAAAAATCGCAGATTTTCAAGAATATAAATTTTTTTTACAAAATTGAAAACCTTTCAAACACATTTTTTTATTTTTATCATTCATAAACCTTCACTGTGGCGTGATGTCCCACAAAAAATTTGGGCCCGATCGGTTCAGCCGTTTTGACGTTTTTTGGATACAAACAAACAGACAAGCTAAATTTATATATAGATAACAGATCACATTCTAAAATTTTCATTATCATATTTATTATTTTATCAATGTCATTTATATTGTAATTATAAAAAGTTTTCCATTATTAGTGTTTCAATAAAATAATTCGACAGATAAAAATGAAGAAAAAACAATTACTCCCAAAATTGGTGTTTTTAACAGATTTTAATTTTTTATCCTTTTTTGATCATCTTTAATATCCCCTAAAAGTATATATATAGTGTATAAAACTGTGTGTATGTCTGCTGAGATATATTAAATTCCTGGCATACTACTTCAACCATCGTTCCCCCCCCCCCGCACCAAAATGTAACCATATACAAGAAGAAAAAAACGGTTTCATGACAGTTGTAACTTGAGCACGAAACTTTATTCATTTTTTATATTTCATCATTTCAAAGGAATTGAGTCTTTGTCACAAACTCGGATTTTTAAATCCCAATTTCTTTAAAACCAAATGTCGTAGACCGTAGATATTTCAAAGTATGAATTCTGGTGGATTAAACAATGTAAGTTTGAAATATGAAAGGTTTGCATCAACTGGTTGTTGAGATTTAGGTATTACAGAATTGGGATTTGTGGCAAAAACTCAATTCCTTTATCATGCGCAACAAAAACGAAAAAAAATACTAAAATAATATCTAAGACAAAACTGCTCAATTACAAGACAAAAGAAATGAAAGGAGCTAAGTGCATAAAGCTGAGAGGTTTAAACATGTTTATTTGTTGTTACATTATTTGTCCTGCACACTTTTTCTCTTGCACAGTATTTTTCTTTTAAGTTATTTGTCCTCAACATGATTTTGCCTATTACAAATATTTTTGTGATAAAATTTGTCTTTAGGGGAATGAAAAAACGTAACTTTTCCAACAGTGCCTAAAGACATCACTTTCTAAAGACATCAGTGCCTAAAGACATCAGTGCCTAAAGACATCAGTGCCCAAAGAAATCAAAACACAAAACTTTCGCAATATTAGATGGATGTACATAATATTTAGTACAATAGTACTTGGTAATACTATCTGATCTAATCTAACGTGTTCCCTTTCTAAACTTTACAACTCTAAAATTAAATTTCCAATCAACTGGAGGTATTGTGTTAACCAGGATTAGAGAAACTCTTTTATTGTTTGGTTGTTTGACAAAATTGCGGGATTTTTCTAAAAAATGTTGAGAGTTTACGATTGCTGAAATGTTTATTCGGACAATGGTGTGTATGAACAATTAGGAAAGACACTAATACAAATGACTGTGTATTGAAAACTCCTAATTAGTAATCATAATTGCAATGAAAACATCTGATGGATGGTTGGGTAGCAAAAGTTCTTTTTTTTAAATATTGTATTTATAATTCTAAGGAGCTGAACTATGGTGGGATAGGGTTCAGTTTTGGTCACGAGCTCTCCCACGGGTTCGATGATAACGGGCGGAAGTATGACGGGGAAGGGAACCTGAAGGACTGGTGGAATGAGAAGTCTCTGGCCGGGTTCAAGGAGAAGACCCTCTGCCTGGAGAATCAGTTCGCTAACTATTCCCTCTACAACAACAAGATCAACCCTAGGTAAGTTTTGTCAGGGGGTGGAAACTGTCCCCTGCTGTAATGCGTGTTTGTTTGTTTAAAAGAGTGAGTGTCTGTGCTAGTGAACACAGCTCATAAAAATCTTGCCAGCATACATTTGTTGCAGAAACTTGATGGGTCGACTATACACTGTGAAGTCTTTAGACTGGTCGGTACAGTGAACAACTACTACAACTAAACTATAAGTAAATCCTTGTACCTGTTAGTATCACACAACAGTTGAAGCTATGTGAGCTGTATACTGTAGATTTTTAGGGCAAATTTTATTCCAGGTATTTGTGTTTTTAAGTCTAGGAAGATTACCAGTGTCAAGCTGTCTACTACATATGAGTGACTTGTGCACATGCGCTGCTGTAAGTCACGAGGACGAGGATTCCGAGATGGCTCGGACGAGAAATTGTTGTGGCTGGCTATCCTCCCCTCGCTCAGGGGCATAACAGAAACCAGAATAAATCATCCAGGGGCAACTCATGAGTAGAACGAGACCATTTGGTCGCGAAACAATTGGAAAATCTAAATAATGATTTGTTGTCATGTATGTCCATCGTGGTTTTTTTAATCTTAACATTTCAGGATTTAAAAAAAGAAATAAAAATTATGCAAGCATAATTTTAGTAATTTTTTGTTTCTTTGTTTTTCTCTAACATAAGGTTATTTTTATATATATTTCACACACAAAATACTCTACGTACAATGATTTTCTAATTTCAAAGAAAAATTCAAAATAACTTGTATCTCCGAGCTTTTGATATTTTTTCTTGTAGGATCATGCTTACATCCTTGTATAAGTTTCTGTATTACAATTGCAATTTTATAAAATTCTTTAAAGTTTCGTTTTAATTTTTAGTAATTCAGGAAAGTAAAGATAACACACAGAGAACAAAAAAATTCTAGAACAATGATTATACGGTTTTGTAAATTTTTAACAAATTTGTATAGTTTTATATAATTTATCAACAATTTGAAAATAACTCAATGCTTTTGATATTTATTTTCTTGAATCAAGTTTATGATAAATGTATACGATTTTTTAGGACAGGGTCAACTTTAAAGTGTCGCCACGCCTTGGGCTTTGATTTTACTGCTTTAACTCACTTATGCTTTAGAAGTTGCCCTTTACATGTACATTTCAGCAGTATAAAGCACTTGGTTTTTAAGAAGTAATTGGCAAAATTCTTGTCGATTTTTGCTTCAGAGCTTGGAATCTTTAAATCACAGTGTGTATATGATGATAATATTTTCAGGAACCACTGGGAAGGAACTATAGATGATGATGTTTGTTAAAAAATAAAAAATAAGATGTTAAAAAAAGATGATAATGTTTTTAGGACACTAGGACGGAATTATAGATGATAATGTTTTTAAGAACCCACTGGGAGGAACAAAATGGGAGGGAACTATAAATATTAATGTTTTCAGGATCTCAATGGGAGAGTACTTTAAATGATTATGTTTTAAGGAACACATTAAGAGGGAACTGTAGATGATAATATTTTTTAGGACCACAATGGGAGGGAACTAAAGATTATAATGTTTTCAGGAACGTCAATGGGAGGGAACTATAGATGATAATGTTTTCAGGAACAAAATGGGAGGAAACTATAGATGAAGGTTTTCAGGAACACATTATGAGGGAACTACAGACATAATGTTTTCAAGAACCCACTGGGAGGGAACCATAAAGGATAATGTTCTTTTAAGGAACACGCTGGGAGAGATAATTGCTGATAATGGTGGCATAAAAGCAGCTTGGGATGCTTTTATCCAATATACTGAGGAAAAGGCTCAAAAACGAAGGAAAAGAGAAGATGACAATGAGGATTGGGATGAGGATGAAAATAAGGACCAGGACGAGGAAGAAGAGGATGATGAGGATGAAAACAAGTTTGAAGATGAAGATTATGAAGAGGAGTCTGAGGGTAACTTTATGAAACTAAAAATGGTTTATGTAATTGTAACCTGGCATGTGTTTCTTGGTCCGAATTCTTATATAAAAAAATGAAAAGAAAATATTCTTTAAATTAAATCATTCTTTCATTTCAAACATTTAACTGTAAGAAATCCAAATTGTTTTAAAAATCACTGAAAGTTGTTTGTAAAGTATTATGTTTTTATTTGCTAAATTTATGAAATTGATCATGTTTTTATTTTAACAGATTTGGAGATTATCAGGCAAGAATTAGGATTCACTCCGGAGCAACTTTTCTTTATCGGCTTCTCACAGGTAGAGCTGAAGAGCCTAAGAGAGGACACATTTAAAGGGACTGAAGGCGTAATTTGAAGTGGCTCTTTATTTATAGAGAACAATTCACAACGGTACTTTAACAGCTTTGTCTGATTAAGTATGAAATCGTGCAGTGTCATTACCAAACTGACTTGCGCTATTCTGCTTCAGAAGCAATGGAGAAATTAACAAAATCAAACACTTTTTAAGATAAAAAACACCTTTCACATTGTTGATCACATAATGGTATAATTGTGAATCCGACATGTCCCTGTTGAAATGGAGAGTCACTTGAAATTAGAAGGTCAGTCTGAATTTAATGGTAACAATTTCCCATTGTTAAAATTCAACAAATAAACTGTTCTGAAAGGAATTGATTGTTTGCCACAAATACAAATTTTTTAAACCATATATCTTTGAAATTTGAAGGTGTATCAAGCTTAGACTAATTGATCAAACAGATACATAGTTTGAAATATCTAAGGTCTATGACAATGAGTTGCAAAATTATAGGGATTAGAAAATTCAGAGTTTGTGGCAAAATCCTCAATTCCTTTTTAATCTATGCCAATAAGAAGTCGGTTTAATTTGTTCATTAACTTTTGATAAATCTGACCAGCTGAACACAAAGTTTCCGTCACAGATTAAGAACTAAACAGCTGAGCTCGTTCTTAAATAAATGTTTCCAGTTCAGGGTTGGTTTATTTCCAGGTTTGGTGTAATGACAATAGTCGAGAATACGAGATATCCAAGATGGAGTCGGATCCTCATCCGCCGAGTGAACTTAGAGTCAGAGCAGCAATCTCAAACTCAGCAGCTTTTGGATCAGCTTTCAGTTGTCCTCTCGGTTCTCCAATGAACCCGGAGAATAAATGTGATATTTGGTGAACTCGGTGGATCATTCATATTTTGTGTAAAATAAAATAAAAAGTATTCTGGTTTTTAAAACATATATATATAAATAGATTTTCAATTTTGTTGAGAAAGAAAAACTGATATCTTCGTTTTTAGAAAAACAAAAAGCAATTGAGTCTTGGCCACAAACTCAAATTTTCTAATCCTTATATTTTTGCCACCCCATGGCGTAGATCTTTAATATTTAAAACGTAAATTATTTGATCTAACAGAGTTCACAATTTGAAATATCTAAGGTCTACGACATTATGTTGCAAAGATATAGGGATTAGAAAATCAAGGAAATTGTGGCAAAATCTCAAATTCTTATATAGCATAAATATGTGAAGTACACCTGCAGTATGGAAACAGTACAACAAAATGGCCGTTTTACACTTTTTTCCAGTAAATTCCTCTCTACATATCCTATTCTCTATGTCACATACTCAAATTTTCTAATCCTTATATTTTTGCCACCCCATGGCGTAGCAAAGTGATCAAATACTAAAGTGGGCCAAACTCATAGTTGGATGACGACATTTTATGTCCCAATTATTTAAAAATAATATATATATATATATCCAGTAGAAAAGGTTCACCAAGGAGCTCAAAGTTCTCGACAACAAGAAGTAGTTGGAGATATTTAACTATAAATTGGTCTGTACGGAGTTCACAGTACAACAAAAACTGGACTCCCTTTGTTTACAAACACAGACTTAGAATTTGTATTTAACTTAAATATAGAATAACCTAAATTAAGATTTCAGAAGTGAATTTTACTGCACAATAAATAATTTCAGACAGCGTAATAATGCCTGCATGCATAATCTGTAAAACAGGGAATGCACAATTTGTGATACCGCAAAATTAAGATCTTCGAAATATATCTATTGGTCTTCACTTTTACATGGGTCTTTACTCTTTAGTTTTTTTTCTAGTCTTTACTTTCCAAAAGAAATCTTTAAATGCAATTATTTCCAAACCAAATAAAACCTTATGGCCCAACCTGTCGTCGTTGCCTTAGTCTGCTCCACTTTAGTATTTATTCACTTTGATGGCGTAGACCTTTGATATTTAAAACGTATAGTATTTGATCCAACAGAGTTCACAATTTGAAATCTCTAAGGTCTACGTCATTATGTTGCAAAGATATAGGGATTAGAAAATCAAGGAAATTGTGGCAAAATCTCAAATTCTTTATCCACAAAATGTTCACTGCATCTTTTTTCTATATATTGAAGGGGCTGTTTACGTAATTATAATTGTGACCCACTATTTGTTAGAGCGACATGGTACCCTTTAATCCTCTATCCGAGTAACGATGATGAAGATATCATCGTGTTTCTATCTTAATAGTTATAAATTCTCACAATTTCCCTTATTGTCTCTGCAGCAAAAAAAAATCGTGAGTGAGAGAAACTATTGAATAAAACCATTTTTCAACTGGAAACTAGGGATATCTCATTCATCTTTGATCAAATTGTTAGCCGGACATGCCATTATGTAAATGGAGGGTCACTTGAANATTATAATGATTAAAATCAAAGAGGGGAGGGGGGTATTTGATATGATAATTTCATTTAATGATTTGATAAGGGTTAATATGTTTAAATGGAAGTAGAGAAATTTTAAAATAATTTCTTGAAGAAGTTCCGAAGAATTATTAAAGTTTTAAAAATTAACAACAAACATTTATTTTTAACAAGGTTGGCATACATCGTATGTACTAGATCTAACATTAACAAAATAATATGCATGTATTATTCAAATATTTAACGTGGTAAAATTATTTTAAGGGTTTTGTTAGCGTTCGAAAGATTTGTGACCATTAATAAACCTATCATTTTTAAATTTTATCTTTGCATTTTAATGCTTTTATTGTCAATTGTGAGAATAAAGTTGTAAGGTACAGACTGTAGAAGGAACATTTTCCTATTATTATTTAATAAAACTTTAGGTTAAAAATCAGTCTTAAACTTTTGTAAGAGGATATTAAATTCTCGCTGTCATAAGTAAAGCTGAATTTTTTTTAAATGCAAAAAGACTAGAGAATATTTCAGGTATATATCTATCTAACCAACTATAGGTTTCAAGGTTGAGGTTGGAATTGGTTGTTTTATCTTGAATATTTGTGACGAAGTTTTGAACCCTGTAGGTTCTCTTCCTCCTCCTGTAACCCTCTGGGGTTCTTAACCTTCTTGAAGGCGGATCCCATCTCGGAGAAAACTTCTGAGATTTGATCCTGGAAACTCAGTTCATCGTCAGATTTTGCTTCTGCCCCCTAAAACCAATTTAGTCTCGATAAAGGAATTTGAGTTTTTGCCACAAAATCAAATTTTCTAATCCTATATCTTTGCAACCTGATGGTGATTGTTTGATCTAACAAAATTCAATAGTTTGAAATATCAAATGGCTACGACATCGGGTTGTAAAGATATTGGGATTAGAAAATTTTAATTTGCGGGAAAATCAGTTAAATCAGTTCCTTTTGAAGAGCAAAGGATGCCAGAATTAGAACTTTTCCACAACCGCTAGTTAGACATAATTTTAACCATAAATATTTCTTAGATTATAATTTGGCACAGACTGGTAATTTACAGATCAACAAGAATACTACAGTAGGAAAATCTAGATAAAATTGGACCTAGAACCTAAGGAATTGAGTCTTTGCCACAAACTCTGATTTTTAAATCCTTATATCTTAACAACTCAATGTTGTAGACTTTAGTTATTTCAAACTATAAAAGTTTGAAATATTAAAGGTTTACATAATTTGGTTGTAGATGTATAGGTATTAGACAATTGGGATTTGTTGCAAAGACTCAATTCCTTTCAATAAAAGATAAACACTTTTTTTAACCAAAAAATTATTTTGCAAAAATATTAGAAGATCTTAACCTGGTATCCCTGGTAGGGGTTCTTGAAATCAATTAACTGTTCCTTCTCATAACCAAACTTTCTCTTGGCAGGTTGACGACCAAATCCGAAAGCGGTCATCACTAAAAATGATTCTAGATTTATTTATCATCAATTTTAAATATCATTCCATCAATCTTCCAAGAAAGTTGTACAAAAAAAAACAAAGAATCTATGTGATAAACCCAGTTTTAAAAAAGATTTCGTAATTTTTCTATCTTTTGAAAGAAAAAAGAAATTCTCCCGATTTCCTTCACTATTACAGGTAGAAAAACAGGGTTATTTTCATCAAAGTTTGTTTTGTTAAAGGGTGCAGTTGGGAATCGGTAATGTAAATATTTCAGCTAAGGGTCATTTAAGATTACGTGAACAGTTCCTTATTAAAACTCCGGAGTAATCGTAATTCTTATATTAATCTACTAATTAATCGTAATCCTAATATTAATCTACTAATTAATCGTTATCCTAATATTAATCTACTAATTTCAGAACCCAGCGCGTCGCCCCACGTGAATTTAACGCGGTTCTGTCAATATTCCAGAAACTTGTGACTTTCGATCACAATTTGACTGATTAAACATAATTGTTTAGTCTTTTTTTCAGAAACACTTTTTTGTCGGCATGTATGTGTTAAATGAAAAAGTATGGAACAGACAAATCCGTAAGTTTAAAAGATTGTTGAATTATAGACCGAAACACGTTTTATTTCAAATAGAAGAAACCGAATGCTTATCACTCTGGAGAGTCTGGATAGTTCAGGGTGGCCCAGGGTACTCATAGTTACTACCGCCGTTTACCCGCAAATTATGATTTTATCTATTTTTCCCTATACAAGTTGACCGACTCAAATTTGAATCTTAAGACCAAGAAAGAAAAATCCCGTGGTTCTCCCAAGTTCCCTTATACAAATTTGAGGCATACCGGTTCAGGGGTTCATGAGTTGTGATCGGACATACAAATAGACAGATAAACAGAAATTATAACTTTATATATATATGGATACTCACAAGATTTGCCGGTGAGATAGAAGTAAACCCAGGGGAAAGCAATTTTTCCAGCCAGAGCAGCGAGGAAACAAACATCAAGCTCATAGGTGTACAGGGCAGAGTTAGCAGTGTTCTCAAACCTAAAAATGTTATATAATAAAGGAATTGATCCCTTGTCGTAATTTTTCCAATCCCAATTTCTTTGCAACTCAATGTCGCAGACCTTCGATATTTTAAACTATGAATTATGTTAGATTAAGTAATCTAAGTTTGAAATATCAAAAGTTTACACGAACAGTTTACAAAGATATTGGGATGAGAAAATTTGAGTTTGTGACAAAGACACAATTTCTTATGTCATTTTTTACATTGATATTAAGATTTTTTAGAGAGAGAAAAACAGATACACAAGAAACTATCATGAATAAAAAAAGGGCAAAGTATCTCTAGGGTTGCTTATATTCCTCCAAGAATTTGCAGTAAACTTTTCTTCCTGATATTTCTATCTTGGACAGATTGAAGACTAACTACTGAAAAAAATATTAAAAAGAACAAATACAAATAAATGTAGTAAAATAACAAACAAAAAATACAAATAAAGAGGAAAACTAATCTAGGTTAAAAAAGACTCTACTCCGTACTACAGTCCATACCCTTTACAAAAGTGTGTTGTACATATCAATGAATTGACAAATCTGACAATGGTTGTAAAGATATAAGGATTAGAAAATTAATGTTTGAGGCGAGTCATCAGTTCGTAAGTTCCCCGAAAAATGTCAAACTTGATATTCAAAATTCCCAAACCAAATATTGGTGTGGAAGGAATTTAAAAAAAAATATGTATACGATGGTTGGCGATTATACCAATACAATGAAGACGACTTTCGATTTCAATTTTGATTTATATCAAGCTTTAAAACAGCATGGATACGCATGAACATAAAAAAAAAAGAAAATGTCGATAAAAAGTCTTCTCTTTGATACATGTAAACTTTGTAATTCGCATAAAAAAACAAAGTCGTCTGCATCATATTTATAGTTTCGCACATATTGATATATAAATTTAACTTACAGGGTGACACCTACACACGTGAACTTGGAAACTGCGAACGGATTGAGCCAATAGGAGAGCAGAGAACTCTCCGATCTGCCGGTCACTTCGCTACTCTCTTCTCCCCTCACTAACCCAACCAGGACACAACTCAGTAACACTTTGAAAATCATCTGAAAAATAAAAAATGCTTCATTTTTCCAATATCCGATATCCTTAAAAATGTCATTCTTTTAGCATCGCTAACCATACTGCATGATATAAAACAAAAAGAAATTGCGTCTTTGTCACAAACTCGATTTTCTAATCCTTATATCTTTGCAACCAAATGTTTCAAATTATGAATTCTAATAGATTTAAAAATCTACGCTTGAAATATTTAAGGTTTTCACTATTAGGTTGCAAAGACACAGGGATTGATTAGAAAATTTGAGTTTGTGGCAAAGACTCATTTCCTTTGTGGTTAATATGTCCACGAAAAAAAAACATGTTTTTGTAAGTTTTTGAAAATTTTCGGTATTAGGAAATTGTAAATTAACAGTTGTGTAAGAATATTTTTTAGGATTAAATAGGACTTTGCTTAGAAGTAATATTACGATAGAAGATTACATTTACATCAAGTATTTTCTAAATATTTTATTATATTTGGTCTACAAATTGGATGTTTTCTAGGTTTTCCATAGGATAAGGGGGGGGGGTGTATCTAGGATAAGAATGTAGTTTTAAGTACGTATGTAATCTTAGTTATGTAGTTTATCATTCGAGATTATGCCAAATATAATAGCTCCTGTAGTTAATATTTTTAATTTATGCTTCAAGTCAGGCTATATTCCTGAAAGCTATAAATGTGCCAAGGTACCTATCTATAACAAATCAGGAGTAACTACAGAGTTTAAGCTGATAAACAAAACAATATTTTGTATTCTCATAAATATGGATTTAGACCAAAGCATGATACTTCACAACCTCTTAAACAATTTTTAGATAGAATATTTGAGGAATGAATAAAGACAATCCTGAATACACAATTGCTATTTATCTAGAGCTATAAAAAGCATTTGATACCGTTGATTTTGAGATTCTTTTAAAGAAACTTATTCACTTATGAGTTCAAGGATAAAACTAATCCAAAGTTTAGAAATTATCTTACAAAACATAAGAGTAAGGGATTTTGAATCTTCTTGCAAGGAAATTTTATGTGGTGTACCCCAGGGTTCAGTTTTAGGACCTATACTAATATTTCTTCTTTACATAAATGACCTTCCAGATTGTACATCATTTTTCACTTCTTTATTTGCCGATGATACTGGATTCTTAAAATCCTCTGATAATCCAGAAATCTTTTTTAAAACGGCAAATCTTGAACTTTCTAAAGCATGTTGTTGGTTTCAAGGCTATTATAAGTTAACACTCAATGTTTCAAAAACCAAATATATTGTATTTAGAAATAAATCTATGCCATTTGAATTATGTTAAATCAAATAATCTAAGTTTAAAATATCAAAGGTTTACACCATCAGATTGCAAAGATATAGAGATTATAAAATTTGAATTTGTGGCAAAGACTAATTCGTTGATTCTATTTTATCTATTTTATGTTGATAATGATAATCCAAAATACAAAACTAATCAAAAGTTTACGTTTCTAAAATAAGTGCTTGCAAGTGCAGTTAAAGAGTTGTTAGATGGTATTTTATGCAGATCAAGACATAAAACTAGAAGTTTAGTTTTCTCTGATAGCTGCAGAAACAGAAACATTTTATTTAAGACTCCCGAGTGAGGGGATATTTATGTTTTTAATTTATTTTTAATCGGAAATTATCAGGATATCATTTTATCAACAAACATGGAGAGTCACATTTATCCAAAGCTTTTATTTTCAATCTATATATATACTTTGCTTGTCTGTCTAACGGTCCGTTTGTATCCAATAAACGGCGGAACCGATCGGGCCCAAATTTTTGTGGGACCTCACATGACCCCAGGGAAGGTTTATGGATGCTCCAAATTACAGAAATTTGTGTCCACAAATTTTTTATTCTTGTGTGAGATTTTGAAAATGCGCGAAAAAATATTATGAATTCCGCAAACTTTTGTTGAAGTTCACCTTGTATAACTATCAATATTATGTATATATTTCCAGTCCCCTGCTCTTGGTTCTAGGTCAGTTTCAAGACTAAATATTTATTTCACTTAGCCCTCGTCTCCGTCTTTCAACCGTGTTAAGACGCGGTTGAATATCCCCCCCTCCTCCTACTCCTCCGCCAAACCCGTCTCCTCGCATTGATATCTCCCCCCCGTGTGGTCTCCAGGTTCCGATAACATATGAACCAGCATAACTCCAGTCAATCAATCAAGCTCCGCGCATACTTGAAGAACAACCTTGAGGTTCTCTCCGTTGACCGGATTGTTTCTCCCACGTGTCCTCCCTAGGTTTCAAAATAAACAAGAACTTTTACTTCCTCACAATAATCTGGGATAATTTGGGACCAATTCTCCGGGGGTATAATTTACCAGGATATATCAGGAAGTATCCAAGATACATTTACATTAATTCTACTCCAGGATATTGATCCAACAATTTTCTCAGCATTTAATATATGTACTTTTAATAGTTTGTGTGATCGACTTCATAGAAACAGAGAGAAGAAACATTTGCACGTTGTACAATACGTACATCTCATTTGAAGTGGATATATTTTACTTGCGTAAAATTAAAACTGGGGGAGCTACAAAGTCAAAAAGTCTTACCAGTTATATCAAAGACTTTGAAGAATGTATTCTTATTCTTTGAATTCATAGCTCTATATACAGGTGTGCTGTGCACTTAATTTTTTTTTGTAACGTAATTTCTGAGTATTTTCGAGATTAATCCGTCGTTAAAGTCGCTTACTTTGCGGTGATCCTGTAAGTGGAATGGAGTTACATATTGTTTAATTGTATACATAGTGCATAAATGATGTAGAAGAGGTTTTCATCATCAGGTTTCAAAAATATAGAAAATGAAAAATAAGAGTTTGTGGCAAGCAACCAATTAACAAGTTTTATCACATGAATACCATTTTTAATATTTTCATTCTTTTTTTTCCACTTTTTCCTTTCCAATTTTTCTTAATTTTTCTCATAAATATGACGCCCGTCTTTAAATGAATGGGTGTGTGTATGTGTAGAGTGTAGAGTGTAGAGTGTAGAGTGTAGAGTGTAGAGTGTAGAGTGTAGAGTGTAGAGTGTAGAGTGTAAAGTGTAGAGTGTAGTGTATGTGGATTATCTATTGTGAATTGTGTGCAATGTGCATGAATGTATTAAAACTAAGAAATTATCTCAGACCAATATTAATATTTGTTACTAATGTTACGAAATAAATAATTATATGACCCAGAGCCATAAATCTAATTATACTTATATCCGCTGTATTACTTTACACTTCAACGCAACAATTCCACCCCCTGCTCCTTTACTCTTTACCCTCCCCTTATACCATAATCACGCCCCTCCCAACCATTTTTTTACGCCCCCAATCCCTGCGTTTCTAACAGAATTGAACAAGCAAAATTAAAAGGGTCTGTTAACGTAATTTCAATTGATCCTTCCTTTGTTGAATGGCATGTCCAATTCACAACGGTAACTAAATGGGCAGAAGCGCAGGCGTCAAAATTATTGGTACTATAACCCATCGGTTTTTTCCTCAAGGAGTTAACTATTTCTCAAAATTATCCTCCCCCCGACTCCATTAATCCCTTTCTTCCGATCCTGAACTGAACCTACAGGAGTCAAGGAATTCTCACAATTAGTGGACTGTTCGGACTGTTCTCATGCCCCCCCGGTCCTTGGTCCGGCTTTAGACTTAAACTTACAGCTGGACTGTTCGGACTGTACTCATGCCCCCAGGTCCTTGGTCCGGCTTTAGACTTAAACTTACAGCTGGACTGTTCGGACTGTACTCACGCCCCCAGGTCCTTGGTCCGGCTTTAGACTTAAACTTACNATGCCCCTCGGTCCTCGGTCCGGCTTTAGACTTAAACCTACAGCTGGACTGTTTGGACTGTACTCATGCCCCCCGGTCCTCAGTACGGCTTTAGACTTGAACCTACAGCTGGACTAAGAGTCACTGAATTCTTTATTTTTCTTTTTTGGACTTCCCTTCTTCCCTTCTCATTTTGTTCTTCCAAGAAGAATAAATAAGAAACTATGATAACGTGTTTTTTTTTCTATTTTCGCCATAACCTCAATAAACACTAAGAACATATTAAAAATTCTATAAAATATCCCAAACATTTAATACAAGTATTGAGTAGAGTTAATTAAAACTAAATCGAGAAATATATGAATGCTTATGAATGAATAATGAATGAAAAATGAATGAATTACGATGTACAATGAATGAGTAAAGGATAGATTATGAACGAATAATGAATTAATAATGAATAAATAACTAATAAATAATAATGAATGTATAATCAATAAGTAATAAATAATAAGGAATAAATATTCATTGAATAAGGAATGAATAATAAATACATAATGAATGAATAATGAATTAAACAAATCTGTCCCAGCTGCTCACTGACCTTGACGTTAACGCCGGCGCTTACTTTCTTATGAATAACAACAGGTGGCGCCACTTTTCTTCATCATTAGCATTCTGTTCGTTGTAAATTGACCTAACATATGGATTGAGGTTCGAACAATAAAAATATGTTACGTTTATAAAAGGACCGAGAGAGATAAAAGGAGATATTTTAATTTAAGATGTTAAAGATTTCAAAACTGCATTGCCATTTGACGAGTCTAACCAAATGATTCTTCATTGTCGAAAATTTGTTTTGTCCTGGGTCCAATGATTAATTTAAACAAGGGCTGGCAGGGGCGTATTAAGGATTTCAGCCAGGGGGGGACAATATATATGTCCCCTGCTGTAGCCCATGCACTGTAGTCTCATTTAAAAGACTTTATAATAAAATGTAACTGCAGAGCTCTGTATTATTCTCTGAAGTCCTAAGTAGTCCCCTGAACACGATGATTAGTCCTTAGTCAACAATATTCCAGAAGCTACTTAGAGAGGGGTTCACTTCTACACTTCTACATGAAAAAGTGGACACCACTTTCTGATCGGTGGAAAGTTTGCTTAAATTTAGTGATCGTACAAGTGCTGAATGGTTTTATACTCTCACCACCCCTCATATTAGAAGAAGAAATAGCAAAGAATAAAAAGTCTGAATAAGAAAAAACATACAGGGTGTCCCAAAAAAACGGGGAATAAGGGTCTGCAGATACGTTTGTAATCGGATTTTCAAGATTGAGACCATTTTTAAAGTCTACGTACAATCCATTTGCACAATTTTGTGTAAGGGTCTACAGACTTGTTTGTAATCGGATTTTCAAGATTGAGAAAATTTTTTTAATCATGTAAACTTTCCGAGGCAAATTTTAGCCTGTAGATCTAAAACGAAAAATTTTACAGGCTACTACACTTAGTATCTTGCTGCTGATGGTAAATATTTTGAATAAGATTGTAAAATTTTACAGGCTCCTACACCCCAAAACCTCATTCACTTTACGAACTTGAGGTCAAAATCAGAAGAGCGATCTTCCAAAAGGCTATTATTTATGTTAGATCAAGAGCCCAAAAGTGTCTTGCTGCTAATGGTGGACATTTTGAATAAGATCGTAATAAACTGTAAAATAAATTGTAATAAACTGTAACCTAACATCATAGATTCCTGTATATCTATGCCTAACATTGAATACAAAACTGCGCAAACGGAGATTATCTTTAACTTTTTACTAGTTTCAATAGAAAACTTTAGGAGCCTATTAAACTGTTATTTTGATATCTACAAGATCTAGATATCAAAAATGGTCTCAATCTTAAAAATCCAATTACAAACAAGTCTGTAGACCCTCATACAAAATTGTGCAAACGGAGATTATCTTTATTTTTACCAAATTTACTCACTCGAGTTGGAAACCTTAGGAGCATATAAAATTGTCATTCTTAGATCTACAAGCCTTAAATAATTCAAGTATATTTTCAAACCAAACGTAATTATAAAGATAAAAGTTGTTTTTATTCTAGTAAATATAAATATCAAGAACTTAGCCTGGGATAATCTTTATTGTTAAAGGGATTTTTCAGAAATAATTAGAAAACTCATTTTAGTAATTTGTAGCTAACATCATGTTAAAATCCTTGAACATTCTCATTAACTCTGAATTTGTCGAATTACATACATAAATACATATACACTGCTATACACATAGTTCTATCTATATAATAAAGCTCTTGTCTAGTATACAAATATATATTTTTATTAGCTGTAGGCGGCTAAACAGGACCAAATTGGCTGAAATTAAGGAAATCCTGGGCGTTAAAAATTAGATTTTTTTTCAAAATTCGAAATCTTTTTTTCAAAATTCTAAGTGTTTTTTTTAAAATTCCTAGGACAACGCCTGGCACTTGGTTTAGCATAAAACGCAACTCTGTTTATATAATGATTATACCCTGACTGAGTAAATATCCTATAAAACCCAGGACTAGAACAATTGATAAGATTAATCAGTTGATTCAATCCACCCGGAGTAAATATACTTGGTTATTCAATTTTCAAGGAGAAACCACATAAAAATATCCTTGAAATAATTAACTATTATTCATAAAATATATTTTAACTCTCTATAAGCTTTAGTTTTTAAAATGGTAATTAGTAAATCTCTTATTGACTTTTTTGTAAGAGCTTTAGATCCCAAACTTCTAATTGAGACAAACATCATTCACGTAAATCCATCTAAAATGAATCAAAAAAAAATCAAATCAAATCAAAATGTCGTAAATGTGATTATTTAGAATTAGAAATATATCAAAGTTTGTTAGAAACAAATTTCTGACAATGAACGAAGAATGTGGGAAATCTCGACAATTTTTGTATTTAACAAATTAGAAATAGGATAAAATTTTGATTTTACAGAAAAGTAGATACAATTCAAATGAAAATATGACAATAGTAAGATCAGAGTTAGGCGAATATGCCATGCAAATAAAAGACGATTCATAAGTAATAAGGCAAATTTGTTATTGTATTAAAATACCAATGTTGATTTTTACATGCAAAATTATAAAGAAACTGGTCTAAATAATTTTATTTTCATCTCTTTATCAGTTTTAAAGAAATTCGCAAAGTATTTTTTTAATTTCTCCTGAGTGCACACTTATAAATATCGTCACCCTATCTAGTTTTGCTATAAAAAATTGAACTCTTTTAGATTAAAATTAAAATTTATTTTTAGAAAAATAAACATGAAAATGCACAGAATTTGGATTGTTCTGATGTTCGTCTATCTTTCCATGTAAGAAAAATATCCATTATTGTACATTTTACAATATTGTACTGCAGTGTACAATGTAGATAAATTCAGAAAAGTCCATTATGTGAAATCAGGGTTAATAATTCAGTCTTGTATTTCCGGAAAGCCATCTTATCAGAATCTTTTAAAGGGATTTTTTACCTTTTTTAAAATACCTAGAATGATCAAATCTGTTTCGAAGAGCCACAATCCTAAATTTTCTAATCTCTATATTTTTGCAACCTGATGGCGCAAACCTTTGATATTTCATACTTTGACAATTTGATCAAACAGAATTCATAGTTTGAAATATGAAAGGTCTATGACATGTCTCAAGTTGCAAAATAATGTGGATTAAAAAATTAGTGTTTTTTTTATAAAAAATTCATTTCCTTTTCATCGTGTATGCTCAAGTGGATATTTAAATGGAAAAAGCCAAAAAAAGCTTAAATCTAGTCAGTGACGTAATCAGGGGGGAGGGAAGGGTGAAAAAATAACCCCCCTCCCTGGAAAATTTCCTGAATACGCCTCTGAAGCTAGTGATAATTAAATTTCTTGAAATCCGTCCTGAAACGTAAAAAAAACTAGGTTTTTCAGAAATGCAGGTTTTCACATTTTTCTAGAAAAAAATACGTGCTTTTTGTGTTTGAGGAATAACAACGGGTTAAAACGGAATTCTAAACTGTGAACACTCACGTTAAAATTATTGAGCTGAATGTGCACAGAATTTCTGGATACATCGGATCAGAATAAGGACAGTAATAATTACTTAATATTTTTCCCTCTTGAAAATGCATGAAAAGTCCCATTAATCGAATAATATGTTGAGGGTATCCTGTGAGCTGAGTGGGTTCGGACGAGGAGTAATGGCTGTAGGACTTGGTTTCCTTGCTGGGGGTGGAGTAGGAGTAGGACTCGGAGCTCTAGTATTCAGTTCTCCAGGAGGAGGGTTGGGTACAGGAGGAGGAGGAGGACTATGGTTTGGACGAAGATAATGAGCTTGCATTGCATGCAAATATTTAATAAAAATGTAAGATAAATAAAGCTAAGACAATAAAAAAATTTGTTTTCTTTTAATGGAATAGAAATCTGTGAAGGGTTTCATGAGTTATGATCATCGAGATATTATTATGATTGAATATACAAACAGAGATTATCTACTTATATCGATACTTAACTATAAAGCAATAATCAGAACAGCTTCTCAGTTTTCATATTTATTGTTTCAGATCTCTCGATCCTCATCAGTCAATAAACATGGGTTAACTTATATCTTTTAAAAACTGAAATATATGTATGTTATATATGTATATATGTAGTGAACTTAGTGAACCTTTCTGTAAAAATATAAATTCATTATACAAGGTGTCCCAATAATTCGATATCGTCTTTGTTATGATTAGCATTGTAAATTTGTAATACCTAATTTCAAAAGCAATACTGTTATTATGTCTACTGTTTATTTTATGAAAAGGGTAAAAGACTGTAAATGTGTGTCTATAATGTCTCTGCAAGATGAACAGTGAAGACGGACAAGTTTACACTGTTTGTATCCTGCAATTTTCTTGTTTTACTAAGTACAACCGTATGCAGTCAAAACATAAACAAACAAAATGTGAATATAGCAAACGAAACTCTACAGCTTTCTCTCTGATTTTTAAATCCTTAT